CTTTCTTAATACTCGATCCTGCATTGGGCCTCGAGGGAAAGAGACAGGATCGCTAGCAGACGACTTCGAATGTTGATGATAAGCGCGCGCGAGCGTGTTCTTGTGCCAAATCGAGTTTGCTTTCGGCAACGTTTCAGCATATCAGGACGTGGTTGGTGTAAACATCATATTTGGTTGATGTAAAACACCGAAGCTTGGCCGCTGAGAACGCATGATTTATTAGAAAACAAGTTACTATGTACGGTCAAGGCATTATTTTATTCCACAAGTATATAAATCTGACAAACTGAAAGAAAAAAATAATACGCTGGAACATTATTCGTGGTATCCGCACATCATTCCTGGTGTCACAACTTTTTTGTTTACTCAAAAGCTACGCCAAGTTGAACGTCCTATGCCTTGCCGCCAACAAGCGCCTTCTCTTAAGGCCGGTTCAGGCACTTGCGTTTGAGTACGTTTGACTGCGTTGCGTCGAGAACCGAGAGCGAGTCACCGGCACAACTGTGCTTCGTATGAAGCATGGAATCCAATTCAAGGAATCCTCTTGGCACATGACATATGCAGCAGGGATGTCCTGGTTTCTCGTTGCCGCAACGCAGTCAAACGCAGCCAAACGCAACTGTCTGAACCAGGCTTTAGTGTATCGGTGCTCGGTGGCACCCAAAAGAAATGCGACTGACTCCGTGTCACGGCAAACCAAAAGGAATGTTTATTCCCTCGTGCCCCTGCACAAGTCACGGGCCCCACGGCACGCGCGTGCGTGCCTCGCTTATAGAAAGCGGGAAGTTCAAAAGAGACTCACGCTACACTTAGTGCGCAGACAGTCGTACAAAATCACTTTTTCTAAATTTCTTTCGCTGAATAGAGCCAACTCCAAGTCATGGTAAAAAGAATAGAGCGCCATTGTTGCCGGAAAGCTCGTCTGCTTCTTTAGCAGACGAACATTTTAGAACTTCGCTGTGCTAGGGGCGACACGCCGTGGTGCGCCAGGTTTTGTGTTACGGAAGCGCATTCATTCCAGTAAAAAAAAAAACGAGACGAACTATAAGTAGGTATACTATATTTTTGGTTCTATATGTATTTAGGGTGCGATCTTTATTTACTTGAGTTTCTGCGATTTATACAAACACACGCAAATTTGTCTTTTCTCGATGAGGCGGATGCAGGTTTCCGTTGCCAGGGGGCGCGACCTGTACCGATCGTCTGCTATCGCCTGCAAATACGGTTCCCCCAAAGCCGTTTTAGGGCACACGATCGGTCCACACGCCCGATCCAAGGTATCGATCGTTTTTGTTTATCGATCGTATTTTGTTCCGGTTCCCTAAAACTCTCTATTACCGCGACTGTTTAATTGATTTGCGCGGCACACAAGCGCCGGTTTTGGCTGAAATTTGGGCATCGTAGCCTGAGGCGTGCCGGGAACCTAGTTCAATCGCCAAAAAAATATCCGAAATTGCCTTCAGTGTCCCTTTAAGGGCTGCGCTCTAAAAAAGGTGAAGCAATAGAAAAAGTTTTAGAATAACGTACGCAATTTTAGCGCACGCTCGCGCTAAATTTAGCGCTTGCGTTAGCGCTCGCTAGGCAAGAGAGTTTTAGAATAGCGTTTCCCTGGTTTCCCCGCGGCGACGCAAAACGCAACGTCGCGCGCTTGCAGCGCCGCCAAGATGTAGTTGCAGCTAGTAATGCAATTCTCGCATTTCAAAAGGCACGCGAAATGCTGTAAATTAAAAAAAAAAAACAAAAAAAAAACATTTTTTTGTCACAACAAACATCTTTTAAACGTGTTTTAACGTATACACTCCGTGCGGGAACTATAGGGGGCGCTTTCAAAAACGCGCGCAGCGCCGCTAGCGGAGGGGCTGGCGTTCGACTGTGAGGCGCGTTCAGCAGCCTGCGGCGCCTTTTCGCATGAAAAGCTGTGGCGGCGGAAGCGCGCACGGACGAAACTTTTGCTTTTTGAGCCGATAAGTTGAGGGTGACGTTGCATGAGTTCTGGGGCAGAAGGGCATTTGGCTGTTCTCCACTTCTTATATATTGAGTTTGAGTCGTTATTAGGGATAATTTCTCTAGTCGCGGCCGAAAAAGGAGTTGGAGCAATTTTCCGAAAAACAAGACGGCCACCACCATAATTACTCTGAATGGGAAATTTATTTCGCTCGTCGCTGTAAACCTAGGACTGCTGGAACCATGATATTTGGAGGCGAGTGAGGTGTTCACTAAGTTTTTGCACGAAGAGTGCCAAGTGTCTTTAAGACAGCAGGCGTGAAAGTTATGTTTTTAACGAATAAAGAAATAAAGCTGTACGGGATATCCAATATTGGACCCAAAATGTTGTGTTATAGCGGGCTGTGCAAAGTGCAGATTTGGGCACACAGGTGCTTGGACTTGACAGTAACATGACACAGCACTTATTATACAAAAAAAAAAAAGGTGGCATAGGGAAACCAGGTGAAAATTTGGTTTGGGCGGCGTAACTCAATGGGAACCGGTTTTGACCATGAAAAGGCTGCCAAGAGAATAACACTGGTCGGGGGAGGTGGAGACTTTAGAAGTAGGAAGGGACTAGTGGACTGTACTTCCAATTGAAACAACTTTACGAAAGGTGGTTTCAAAGCCGCGAAAACAAAGTTGTCGGCCAACACACGGTTTGGCCGCCAAGGGCTTTTGCGGTCAGCTGTTGCGTAACAACCTGTTGTGCGAGGTGCTGATTTTCGGCGCACAGGTAATTTGACATGACCGTCACTTGGCCCAACACTTATTATAACAAAAAGAGTTGGCATAACGAAACCAGGTGGAAATTTAGTTTGGGCGGCGTAACTAAATGGGAACTGCTTTGAGCGTCAAAGGCTGTCAGGTAATAGCACTCATTGCGGGAGGTGCGCACTTTACAGGTAGGAAGGGACCAGTGGACGGTACTTCCAGTTCGAACCACTTTGCTATAGGTGGCTCTAAAGCCGAGAAAAAAAAATATTGTCTACAGACCTCGGGGCGTCAGCGTTTCCACCTCCAAAAGGAGGCTGATCAAGAAAGAAAGCACACCACATAAACTTCCATACTCAAACGTCGATTCTCCAATGATTCCGAGTTTCATTGTTGTTATCTTTAGATTTATATTGACACTTTTTTAACGTACAAATCTTTTTTCATGACATACAGATTGCGTGCCATACTAGTTCGGCGTACGATGGGGACGAAACTTCTTTGGAGGGCAGTCCTCCAACGAAATTCACACTGCATACCCGCGAGTGTGGGATGGCATTTCAGTTCGAGCTGAGATATGTAGGCGTTACTGGTACGAAAACAAACGCAGTGCGCAAAGCGGCAGTGCAGAATATGTCAGCCGCGCCGACACAGTGGCAGACATGATCGGGAGACTAAATTTCTCGCGTCGTACGGCCCGGGTCCACCGTTGTCGCTGTCCCACAAAACATCGGCGAGGTGAAAAACTGTGAAACTTTGTCTCCGCGAGATACGACGCATAACTATTGAAGCACTTAATGACGCAGCACAGGCAGCACTTCATGCTGTGAACCCAGCGCAACCGCACAACTCCGACTTCAATGCGTACCAACGTACGCGGCGTGGTTTCGGTTTCGTTATCGCGATCCAGTGTGCTGGTTGACCATCTTCTGCATATGAACATGTCGTGGAGCGATTTGGAGGGCATGTTCCTCCAATACCGGGAGCCAGAACCGCATAGATACAAGTCAAGTGGGGGGCTCCTGGATGTCGCCAAACTCGACGACCTGATCTTTCGGCGTATGTTTCGCTTTGAGAAGGACGATTTTGGACTCTTAAATGACGTCCTGCTGACGCCAAAGGTGGTGTACAGCAGCCAGGGGGTTGTTGTTAGCGGGGAGGAGGCCCTCCTTATGTGCCTGCGCCGACTTGCCTACTCAAACCGCTGGTGGGATTTGGAGCCGATCTTCGGCCGTCATTCGTCGGCAATGTCGAGCATCGTCGGTTAGGTGCTCAAGCACATCGACGGCACCTTTGGTCACTTGCTGGACGACCTGACCACCCACAGCTGGCTGAGCTTGGGCGACTTGGAACGCTTCGCAAGAGTAAGTCTGCTCGTTAACAGAGTGGCGTTTTTAAACCATTAATTTTAAGAAAAACGTGCGCAGCATTTTACGACATTCTGAAAAAAATTAACTATTGGATGTGTTTTTAAGTTTCGGTGTCCTATCAAAACGCATCTCCGCACCAGCAGTCCTCTTCCCCGAGGTCAAAGCGTGTGACTATCTCCTCACCTCCCTCGTAGAAGTAAGCGTAGCGCACGTGGTCAAATTACGCACGGTAGTTGCTTAATTTGCCCACGAGGAACAGGACCGCCGACGCAAAGATGCGTTCCCATAGAAAACCAGAACCTATATATTCAACCCAATTCCGTTTTTTTTTGGAAGGGGGGGGGGGGGGATGTCGCACGCGCCTAATATTTCTGTAAGGTGCACTGACTTAATGCTATTTTTTTTTCATATCTAACGGTTTTAATGTTTCCTAATTAAAAAGAATACAAAAGTAATTAAGAACCTAATTGCAACAAAGTTTATTCATCTTCTTAAAGAGACTCTTTGGCAGAGACCAATATGACAAGTTTTTCTCTGTGCGATACACACTTTTTGCTGGAGTGATTTGGCCGGCATTTCATAAAACGCTTTGCAATATTCAATGCTTGGAGTGTCACATAATAATACTTGCCATTATTGGTGTTCAGTAGCCTAGTCAGAAGCTTTAAGCCCCCCTCCCCAATATCTAGTCAACCATATAATATACACATGCATTTTGACTCCCCTCCCCTCTTTACACAAGTCATGAACATCCTACCCCCCCCCCCCCCCCCCTCCCTCCCAGCCTCAGACCTCTTCTCCCTCCCCCTCCCCCCAAAGAAATTCGTGCCTACTGTTTTCATTTCCGATTAAGGAGGTCGAATATGTTACCCAGAACTGCTGAACGGAACTAATTTAGAAAAAACATACAGCTTAAAGAAGGATGTTTGTTTAGTAATAGATTTTATTTCATGACACATTTGTATACTACAAAAAACACTTCCTGTGCATGGGAGAAAGTACACTGATAAGGTCTTGCTATATGGTCGTTATTCAATTGATATTAATAAATATGCTACATATGCAAACTTCGGTAACACAACTAGAACAAAACATAACACATTTAATGAGCCTTATCGCTTCAATATGGACTCTTTTAAAATCCTTTCTGTTAAATGTATTGAAGAATAGAACTGCCTATCCACACAAGCTCTAAATAGTGAAAATGTGCATGGTTTTCTTGATAACATTTTTAATACTTAAGTGTGCCTACCAACCTGCTTTGGCCTCAAAGCTGGCAAGATGTTAAAATAAAGAAAATAAAAAGCTGCATTTAAACTCATCAATACTACAAATAAGGAATACTGACACCAAGCAGTTGGAGAATAAAATTAAATATAAAAACAAGACATTTGATCAAAGCAAATCATGTTTTAGATACCATGAAGGTCTCGCTAAGAATGTACCATTATTGCAGGCCGTTCATGCCCGAGGTGCACCCCTCCCAAACTGCTGGGGCTTCGTGGATGGGACGGCGAGGCCCATCTGCCGCCCTTCCACCAACCAGCGTATCTACTTTTCCGGACACAAGAGGCTGCACGCATTGAAGTACCAGTCAATAATGTGTGCAAACGGCATCATCTGCCAACTTGATGGTCCCTACCCGGGACACAGACATGACGCTGGTGGGTGCAGCTGTTCTGGACCTGCATGCTTCCACGTTTGATATTAACACTTCCCATTAATCAGCATTTCAACTCTGTAGCAACACTGAATAAGCAGTCTTGCTATAGAGGTAGCAGCGAACCAAATAGAAATCACGAAGGAAATCATGTGTTCAATACAATTATTAATGCAATTCTTTCAAATGAGCTAGTCCAGTCGCCGAGCTTAAATAATAAGCCTTGAAATGCTGTTTTGTGCTTCATTTTTGGTTAAGATGCAGTGGCATGTTCCGACTTAACTATATCTCTTCCGATTTATGCAGCCCTTGCTTTCTTCGAGGTTCGCTGCGAAAATATTTACTTAGCTCTGAAAGAGTGTGCTGTTTTACAGAGGACAAAGTATTGTAATGCAGCATTCACACTGCATTGCAAAACGGAGCACGTCAAATGAGCAGACTGGCGAATCAATACCATGCAACTTCTGTTTTTAAAAGTGGTAAAAAGTACAGTGCCTTCTTGTTTCTGTTTTATGAAGGCATTTTGTGCAAAAGTGGCCTCCACGGAAAGCTGGAAAGCTTGTGCAGGGCCGCTCTTACACCATCTACGGCGACCCAGCGTACCCATTACGGCGGCTTCTGATGAGGCCGTACGGAGGTGCCACCCTCACTCAACAGCAAGTGCTCTTCAACAGTGGCATGAGTACTGTGCGACAAGCTGTTGAGAGGGGGTTCGGCAAAATAGTATCCGAGTTCGCATTCCTGGACTTCAAAAAAAATCAGAAGCTGTACTTGCAGGATGTGGGGAGAATGTATCGGGTGGGCGCAATTTTTACAAACTGTCATACATGCCTGTACGGTAGCCAGACTGGTATGTTCTTTGGGCTCCGTGCACCCAACTTGGGGCAATACTTGAAACCCTCTGTACGGGACAGACACAACCTTTAAGATACTCTTGGTACAGTGCTCAGCAAACTTATATGGAACACTTAAACTGTGTCTTATCTCGTAAGATCAGTGCTCCCTTACATAGCGCTCAATAGAACAGCTTGAGCAGGAAAGGTCGCTTGCTCAAGGCCGAAATTGTAGCTAGGCCAAGGAAAACAACAGTTTTGCTGGCAATCTACACTTATCACCACCCTTTCGTATTAAGGTGCTTAGGTGACTTCCTAAACCGTCAGTGATTAGATGACTCAATCAGTGGGCGTTCCATGTTTTTACTGAATGAGCCCTTCAATAACTGACGATTTCAGCAGTCACCTTTGGCCGCCACCTGCATCAAGCAGAATTGCCGTGTTGTCCCCGGCCCAGCCACCATTTCGACTTTGAGCGAGCTACCTCCCCTGGTTGGGCCATTCCACTGAGCACTACTTTTGGGGATTCTAAGTGCCAAACCGACAAAGTGTATCTGGCGTGGCCCAGTGCAGGACTGAGGATTAATTTCATCCATCTGGAGATGTTCCGACGTACAAGAGAAAGTTCAATATCATGGCACCTTCTTTGCAATAAGCCTCCGTCAGACTGCGGGCAGCTCTACAAACATTCAAACCAACTGGGTATCCGTAGGCTGGTGCTTTACCTCCATGAAACCGTGGCAGCTAGCATTCTTATAAGATAAGACACAGTTTGCATGTCACGTATAGGCTTGGTGGGCCCTGTAAATTTTCCTAAACGTGGTCTTTCTAATCTTTTTAAGTGTTGCACATTAAGCGCTATTTCATGCAGCACTTCTTTAGCTGCTGTCAAGATATTGTACCCATGAGATTATACAGTTCGCATGTTCTACATAATTTTGGTGACACTGTTTATTTACCATAAAGTGGCCTTTCTAGTCATTTTCTGATTGCCGAGTTAAAAGACGCTGCTGTTATTTTCTTTTGAACAAGTTTTCTTTGGCTATAGTAATCTTTATTGGAGCTTCCATTTCTACATTTGTACTTGCAGGATGTGTGGAGGAATATAAAAATATTTATGTTATGGTAATTAAACAAATAAAAGTGAAAATTCAAAGCCTGCTGTCTATTTGAACTTATTAGCAATCATTGATTGCACGAGCTCCAGCATGGCTTGCTGTTGTGCGAGAAAAAAGTGTCTTTCCTGTGCACGATCCCTTTCTCTTTCTGCCCTTTCTTGAGCTCTTTCCTCTCTCTCTTCCTCCCACCCACGAACTTGTTGCTCGAGCTTGTCTCTGTCGAGGGCCAGGCACTTCTCCTCGAGGATGAGGCGCTTCTCTTCAAATGAAATGCGCCGCTCCTCCAGCTTGTTCTCCCTCTCTCGGGTGCCCTGTTCAAACTGTAATCTTTTCTAAAAAAATATTAGATTCTCATTTTCTCTTTTTTTTCCTGTAAGAAAAACATATGAAATGCATGTTAGACAAATGTTTCTCCAGAAATGTGCACAAACCTTTCCTGGAGGTCTACACTGTGGTCACTTTGCCCAGCTGCATATCTGATCCGACAGAATAACGTTGGGCAAGGATATCATGGAGTTGCAAATTGACATGAATATATTCAGCAACTTCATTTACTCTGCTGCAGCCTCCTTAGCTTCCTATAAGAAAAGAAGCCCCACAACAAGATATGCAGGCACAGGAAACATGATAGAGTCATGATATAGTCTGGAACACACCAATACAAAGCACATGAACGAGCACAGAGTGATCGTAGGAAGCACAAAGGCAACAGGAATGTCAGGCAACCTAGGTCTTGAAGAACAGAGGTGAGATCAAGGTGCCCAGATTGTGAAATGAATTACCGTAGTAGATTTTCTTTTACTGCACGTGAATTACATTAAGTGTTCACAACTAATATTCAACTTTTCTTCTTAGATACAGATATTAAGATAGACTTGTCTTCTGTGTAACAGGATACCCCTGAGGTACTTTGGTAAAAACTGTAAAAAAGGTATTTCAAAATACAAACATACAGAGCAAGAATTTTTTTTCCGAACAATGTCAGGCACTGTGGGTTTCAGTTCGTGGCGACTGCAAATGGTAGTGCTTATGTTTCTCTCTTTGTGTTGGTTCATGCACCTCCCCTTACCTCAAACCCTTCACCTAATCACAAGAGATGTTCTGAGGAGGTTTATAGAACATTTGAGCTGCTTGGGAAGCCTGGAGCTTACCCCTCTGCACCTGACGGCTAGCTTCAGGTTCCATGGTCTGCTCGGGTGAAGCTGCAGATGCATGGCCTCCAACATCGATCGAAGGGGTGCCCGTGGCAGCTGCAGGTAACTCTCTGCTCACGTCAAGACCAACAATTTCATATGTTTCGCCTGCATCTGCTGCCGAGAGGAGCTCTGCCGTATCCACAACACAAGTGGTCCCTGAAAAAAATATGAAAAGCAGCACCTCTGAAGAAATTAACTCTTAAATATTATGTTTCCCATTGGTGCTTCCATTGGTGGTTCAAGTATGCAGGACTGGCCACAGCATCTATGATAATGAAAAGCGTAGGCATATGTCTTGTCTCGGCCTATGATAAACTAAAGCCGAAAACCTATGGGCCTTCAATCGGAAAAATACCAACAAAAAAAAAAGATGGATAGCATAAAATGCAACCGTACCATGCATTAAAGCTAACAGCTCGAGCTTAAAAGCTCTTCCACATTAGCGGTGCTGTGACCGCTAGCGGCAGTGATTTTGGCCGCAGAATTGGTGACTCCAGCGAAATCAACGCTGCATAGTGGCCACGCTGAGAAGCGCAAGAGAGGAGGTCACTTCGACTCTGCCGTTTGCTATCGCTGCTTGGTTCTCACAGGCAGCATAGAAACATTCATTGTTTCCAGTAGTTATTTTTATGCTTCCACCGTGTCATTTTTATGCACTGACCAGACGAAAGTTTCTACTGTCGATAATCGCTTTGCTTTCATATGTAACACCGATTTTATGCTGCAGTGCAAGAAATTTATGGTGGTCCGCGTGCTGAACAACGAAAACTACCTCCTTTCGCCCGCCATTTTGCCTGACCACCGCGCCCCCATAGTTCGCTGGAGCCGCTAATTGCACCATGTGAAACATGCTTAAAGGGAAACTTCAATCAATATTTTTTTTTATTTGGAATTACAACTGTTTTTACCTTAAGCAATGTCTCTGAATTACAAGGTATAATTTTTTTTCTTCTCGATATTGTGTGTAGTTTTATAAACATCACGGCTCAAAGTTTGATTTCGGGCGTCTACGGAAAAACCAAAACTATCCGCCAGAGGGATGGAACGCTGATCATCAGCCTACGGTCGCGACGTGACGTCAACTGCGCCGCGGCGCTGCGGTGAGAGGTACAACCAATCAACCGCAGCTCCACCGCGATCCAATGTCACAAGGGTGCTGTGCCAGTGTTCCTTGGCTAAAAGCTAACCCGCTTGCCCCCTGCTAAAGAGCAACTGGTCACATCACTAAAATTAGTCCTAGTGGAATATGCATTTTCACTTTGACGTAAAATTTCGGCTGTGATATATTTGAAGTTACTAAAGCGATACCTGTCATTTATTTTGGTTTGGTTTTCGATCGGAGTTGCCCTTTAAGACAAACACATATGCATTAAGACGCCCTGATCCCACTTACATATGTTGCCAGCACTTTCCGGTACTTCGACAACCGAAGAGGTTGCCACGTACGCTGCAGCAGCAGCATCAGTGGAAGTGGAGGCACGGCATGTGTCCGCAGTTGCGCTGCCATTCTGCGAAAGTCCACCAGATGTTGTAAATGATGCTAAATTCTTTTTTCTTTTAAACCTTTTGTTTAAGTTTTTGCAGCAAGTGCAACATGTGTGATACTTGGTTTACATTCTTCTTCTGTAACCATCTTGAAAGAAATTAACAGTCGGCTTGTTCGATTCACCTACCTCTCCTGCACCAGCTTCACTCGGTGAACACATAGATGCTAGTTAACCCTTTACCTACCATGGACGACCTGGGTCCATTTACACTGTTTGCACCGCTCCTCACGAAGACGAGCTGGGCTCGTCCACGTTGATTCGGGCTCCAATACGCTACCATGGACGAACTGGGCTAGTCCACGTGTTTCTAGTGACCTTTGCTGTGGACAGATAACGCTTCACGGAAAACAAAAACCTGGTAAATTTCTGAATTTGGCACAAAATTGTTCCAACGCAGACAACAGGGGATTTAAAAATGGAGGCGTCAACTTCTGGTCGCATCGTTCATAGGGACGATCTTGCCTCAAAATTGGGGCGAAAACGAAGATATTGTGATGTCTCTTCAAATTCAGAAGACGAGGAAATGAATCTTTCATTGAACAGCGAGAGTGATGCAGCTGAGTTATTGGATTTTAGCTCAGACGACTCCGATTTCAATGAGGACACCATGTCGGCGTATCGGCATTGGACTAGAATCAATGTAGAAAATCCTCCTCCAGTTCCTCCACGTTTTGCATTCACTTTGCGTGCAAGGTGATGTGAATTGTCTGCAGTACTGCTACGCCCGGCCTGAACGTCCATGTGCAAGGTGACGTGAACTGTCTGCGGTAATGCAGTGAAGCCGAACTTTAATCCCTTTTTCTTTTGCAGTCTGTTCAAAGTTTTCTCATTGAATAAATATTTTGGCATTTGTTTTTGGCCTTTGTATTGCATACTAAATTTATAAGGCACATAAAGAAATTCGGTATTTTCAAATCGTTTCTTTTTCAAAAATTTTGCGGTAGGCAAAGGGTTAAGAGTGCAGCCTGTCTTAAAATACAAGCTGGGAACACTGCCTTGCACTTTTCTGCATCGAACCTTTTCTGCACCGGTGTAGGCTGGTGCAGGTAAATCGAACGAGCCCAGCATTAATGAATAAAAAGAAAAAAAAAAAGAAAAAAAAAGAAAAAAAGCTGACGTGCCGTGGAATATGCCAAGTTGGTTGCGGCGGCGGTGTCCCGTAACGCAGACGCGTCGCTTGGTTCGGCGGCTGTGAGCTTCTGGCGTGACGGGGCCGCTCTCCGGACGGCCGCCGCCTTGTACTTGTAGTGAAATTCTCTTGTCTGATCGGCGATCTCCTGGAGGAGGCGTTCCTTTTCGCTATATTGCTCCTCGGTGCCTGAACTGCGACAGAGTAGCTACTGAGCTCGACCTGCTGCTCAGATCAAAGCACACACTTTAACGCCGCATTGCTTTAAATAATCTTTAGCAGTAAATGGAGCAGCACACTCACCTTCTTGAGTTGGCACGATCCTCTGCAGCAAACTGCGCGAGCAGCAGGTCGAGGCGGTCGCGTACCACTCGCGCGCTAAAACTTTTGCCGGTGGCTGGAAGAAGGTTGTTTGCGATTTGGGCCCATCGCGATGGGTCCTCAAACGGGTTGAGGGCGTGAACTTCTTGTAACAGCGAAATGTCATCTTGCGCAGAAAAGCGGAATCGCGAGGAGGCTCTCGCCTGCCGCGGCTGCTGCCTTCCTATGCTGCCTTCTGAGCCGCCATTTGCCTATTCCCGCCGGATTAGAACACGGATCGTCTTGGCTTGTGGTCTTGGCTTTAGCCCTCTCGCAACTTATCGCACAGCACGAGAACGACGCAAAGACCCTTTGCGTCGTCGGAAATAGCGCGCGCTAAAATTGCGCACGCAAAGCGCAAAACCTGGTTTGCGTTCGGAGCATGCGCAGTGGCGACGACGCTATTCTTTGCGCACGCAAAGCTTTAGCGTGCGCTATTCTAACACTCCCTAATATATTTCAAATTTACCCTTTTTTACGAGACCATTTTCTTCAACCTTGAACTTCGAACCATTTTCTCCGGGGAAATTTTTTCCAAGACCACTTCTTCCGAGACCATTTCTTTTTTCTGCGCTCCTCCCAGATATATACGGTATTTAAAGAGAAAGCTGACAAGTTAAATGTCACTATTACACAGATCTCTGGTGTGTACGCGCACCTCTGGCTTATGTTGGATCCCCCTCTGACTCTCCCGCACTCGCATGCATACGATTGTTATGAACAAACAGAGTATTTGGATATGTGATGCCTTCGGAGCAAAGTTGGCCAGCTTTGCTGAGCAGCTAGCCTCCTCACCGCTCACACCCATTGCGGCCGACGTTCCTGCACCCCCCGCAAAGCCAAATACAATCTGTCCTATGTACTAAGAAAACAGAGAAACAAAAAGCCATGCGCATGCAATCTCTGGGCGCCGTTAAATCGCAAAATTTTTGCTGTGGGTGTATGAGGCTACGTGCGGTTTTCCAACGTAATTGCGGTTAAAAACAGCTCTGGAGATGCTTGGTTTTACGCAAAGAATAAAATAACACTTTTCTTCGACGCAATTTTTGTTAATCTGTCATCTATGACGCCACCATTAAATTGCAAACGCTCTTTATGGTTTGAGTTGAACACATTCTTTTACTTGAGGCTCTCTAAAAGGTCCATTGTTGAATTGGCGCCATTCAACTGTGATGACATTACGTGGTGGTAGAGGTGGTGTTCACTGGGCTTCGCATTGAACCCTGTTCAGTGTCGGCACTACAGATACTACTGAGCAAACCTGTATGCGTAAACAAAGAGGACGAACATGAAAGAGTGGACTAGACTCTAGAGTGGACAAGGACACGCCGCTTGTCCTAAATCACTCTTTCGAAAAGGAAGGAGTGGACAGGGACGAGCGCATGTCCTTATCCTCTATTTCGCGTTCGTAAAGCGAGAAATAGAAAATAAAACTTTGTAGATTACTACACCGCTGATCTGCTGACAGTTATCCGTCTTCAGTTCCTCTGACACACACTGCCAGACTTTCAAACGCGTCCGCCAATTAGTTTCAGTTTCGGTATTGCTCCTTTCGGCAGAAATAGAAATTCAGTTTTACATTACAAATAAAACATTTAAATCTAGCAAAAAAAAAGTAAATAATTAGCTTCTAAATAACTTACAGTTATTTCACAGTTTCTGGTAAGGACCTTTAGTTGGTTTAATTAATTCATTTACATTTCTGTTTCTGGATGCCACGGCGTGACGGCGTTTCTGAAATGGCAACGTTGCCATTGTTAAACCCAACGTTCCCGTTCAAGCGTGTTCTGATTTCGGGGAACAGAGCGGCTGAGTTTCTTTGAGTTTTTTTGATGCCGTGTGGTGGTGGACTCAGTTCCTAGTCCTGTGCACAATGCAGTTTCTTCGCACGTGTTTGCAGTCCAGCACACCAGTGCGGAGGTTCATCACGCACCAAACCACGCGTGCCAACGGTAATCACTTCTCCAGACTTCGAGCCTCGAGTGTAGCCGGCTTATCGGAACTATCGAGATAAATTTCACAGAATTAGAAATCGCAATGTTTTCATCGATGCCACATCTCGTGTTTTCTAGTATGATGGAGGTTCTGCTTTATTTGAATATCGTGTGAGGCTGAACACTGCCTAACAAAAAATGGGACGGTGCGTGCGTACGTGTGTGTCCACTCTGCTTCTTTGGTCTCGGGTTTGCCAGAGTGGTTTGGAAAAGTGTTTAGGCATTCAAAGCTGGGGAATTGTGCAGTGCCCCTTTTGCCACAATTTAGGGGCTAATATAATATAGACAATCCGCTGCTTGTCAAACCAAGCAGTGTAACGGCCAGCATCTCGCACCTTTGGGGATATTGTGTGAAGAGCAATGCTCTACGCACGACGTCGTTCATGCGGCCCTGAAATGGCTATGCGGAGCGCAAGTTCTGCTTCTTGCACAGGGGTTGTGATGATGTCAGAATGCTGAGCTCTTATTTGCTGATAGAAATATATAGTGGATGTCAAGGCATCTAGCATTGAGGTTTACCTACTATCCGTCAGTCAAAGCCAATCAGCTCGGCGTTGTTCACTGCAACTCCTGCGCAAGAAGCAGGCGACTTGCTCTCCCGATAGGCCTCCTGCGTTGCCCAGGGGGTGCTAAAAAAGGGACTTGTTAAAACTTGTTTTTGGTAGTACAAACTGAGCGTCCCGAAATGTCACACATGTAGGAGTATGCCTGCTCTGGTGCGGAACTTGATCACGAAGAAAATACAAAGAAACAGCAAAAATTTGAACGCTGTCCAAGCTCCGGTCAAGCTAAGACGGTAAGAGCGTGAACCAAGTGATACTGCTTGACATGTTCTAAAGCAAAAAGGAAAAAAAGCGTCGGACACCAGATGTGTCTTCGGCCACTTTAGATTGTCTTGTGGCATTGAATCTAGCCGATTTCAGACGTCTAAAGCTCTTTTTCTATTCTTCAACAATACAGAGAAAGAAAAAAGCTCAGCAAAGGTGCCATAAGTAGTGTGAGGCGCAGTCATGTGAGCTTGTACTACCCAAAATGAGGGCATCACAGTCTTTTCAAAGCTTCAGTGCCGGAGGCCTCTGTACGAAGCAAAACTTTTTGCTTGTCTGATTTATGGGGGGTGGGGGAGACTAGACTTGGGTAAAAACACGTCAGTGAACCATGCACTAGCTTTTAGCGTCTTCCAAATATAAATACACATTCAGTTAAATAGATACCCTATATGAAATTGATTGTCAAAAGGGCCTGCCAAAGCTTTGGCGCAGCTCTGTAGTAATGCAGCTACTTCACACGCAGCGGACCCAGAATCAAATCTGGCGGTCAGGCTATTTTTTCTTGTCAAGCTTTTGGCGATATTGATAACACATGTTTCTTACAGCTATTAGAGTAAAAACAAATCTGTTGTCGACAAAACGTCGCTGGACGATAGGGAGCCAAAATCCATTCCTAAATTTGTTAAATGGTGTGAGCTCTCCGCATCATGCATATAGCTATATCTGGTTCAGGTGCACAACATCATGCACATTGCATCACGCTTGTAAGCACCACGGATGCGCTATAGGCCATTGCAGTGTTTACGAATCCAGAGCCCAGCACTCGCTCACTGCCATATGCTTGAGCGCTACTCGACTCCAACGCCACTCAGTGGAGTGAAGTAAAAACTACCCCTCCACTCGAAGAGTCACTCGGCTTTGCAGACACTTCTTGGTGATTCCTTTACAAAGGAATTCCTTGAGATTTCATACTCCACTTTACCGTTCCTAGTGTCGTATGGAGACAAAATTATACCAACATGTTTCGTTTATAACATAATTTTGGTGCAAAATATGAATACATGTGTTTGTCATCTTTAAAATAATCAGCTTTACAAGCACCAAATTGATGGATTTCAAGCTTTTCTGTAGCCAGCGTGAAAGTTTTACTTGTTTTATCATTAAAACAAGCACGAGCACCTTTCAGTCTGTCAACAGTGGGCAAAAGGACAGTGGCCAGTTTCTTTTTGCTCGAATTTGACTACCCATGAAGCCATTTTGCATAGTCGCAAAGTCCAGCCGTGCTCCTCAGGAAATTGGCAAGACAGTGACTCAACGTGCTGGCCAGTGCTGGCGTTGAAGCGCCACACTTGCCCAATGTCCCAGCACACTCTGGGTTGTAATATACACTAAACTACTTAATTTTCGCAAGAACCTAAATTTCGCGAATCACCTATAATTTACGAAAAATATATCCCACAAAACAATTCCGGTAAAATGTAAACACATTGGAATCTATATTGAGATCCCACCAAGTCGCGAAAATTGGAACCTGTGAATTATTCTAAAACTTTAGCTATGACCTAAAGGCGTAATATTGAACCCGCGAAAAATAAGTTGTTTACGGTATTTACCAAGTCGCCGGTTACCATGCACCTATGTGTCCCAGTGCCACAGAATCGCAGCACGATCAACAGCTGCAGCATTGGAGGGACCGGCAGACCACAGCTGTTCTCGCACTCCTCCACCAACAGGGACTTGAGCAGCCTGGGCACCGTCGCTTTCGTAAAGCAGTGGCGTGCAAGAAATACGCAGTCGTTGAACACCTCCATCACATTCAGTTTGTTTCTAAAACGATGCCGCGACACTGAAGGCGCTCCTCTTCACTATGGTGCAGGATTTTGTCGGTTTAGAGGACAAAATCCATAAACTCTGTGAGCGATGTGTTGGGCGCCATGACACCCGTTAACCAACTCGAGCCGCCTCGAGAAAAATTTTCAGGTAGCTCAGAAGCTACCTTGAGATTTTGGAGGAAATCGTTGAGCACTTCCTCAGTCAAGTGAAGTTTTGAATTTGAACTATGAAGCGCAAGACCGTCCTGAAGTAGAGTTGGAGTGGAGCTTCAATTCGAATAGCGTCTATAAGTTCGGCCAAAATGTCTTCATAGCCCATCACGCGCATGTTTGTGACTTCGAAAAGTGAGCGAACCATGCTCCGTACTCGCAAACACTAAAAATGACACTATCCGGAAGCTCTTTATCAGAGCGGTTTATAGGGCGATTCCTCTGTTTACAAACGTTGCAGCCCACACATACTAGACCATAGTTCAGCCGGCGCGTGTTTGCAACTGTGGCCAGCCGCCCGGTGCTTGTGCTAAGTGCACCGACGCAGCTGTGAACACACCCCGAGACGATTTTATGGGAAGGGGTACAGACACTGGCAGGATAACAAAGGCCGAAGGGTCTTTTAGTCGTCCCTCCTCCAACATGAGCTTCTTACCTTTGATGGCACCTTCGTGTTTCGTGAGCTCCAAGTAAGCGTGCGCTCAAAGTGCAGCCTCCAACACGGAACAAGCGGGTGCTGGAGGCTGCAGATCCCAAAAAGACACTCTGCACGTCTCCTGTCACTGACCATAGCAGACAAACGGTGCCAACGTACAGCATATTGTATCGGCAATTAGCTAGCAACATCATCGTCTGCAGGTGCGCAGGCACCAGGCAGCACACGCCAATAAATGGAACGTCGGCCTAGGGCTCTGACGTCGAGACGTGTCAGCAATCATGCCTGTCTCCTCTTTGTGCTAATCTCCCACCGTTACATGGTGTCAGAAGTGGCTCGACAATCTTCCACTTTGAGGTGAGCGAAACGCGAGATTTGGCATGGCTGAGCTGAGCCACCAGAAGGACTCTGGCTATCGGAAGATACGGCCGAGAACTGGAAACGCTTCAAGCAATGAATGGAACTGTACTTCATAGCCACAGCGATTAAGGAACTGAGAACGAAGCAGCAGAAGGCTGCGATTTTCCTCCATGTAGCCGGGCAGGAAGCGATTGACGTGTTCAATACGTTCCAGTTGACAGCCGACGAAAAAGAAGACTACGATGTGCTAGTGCAGCAGTTCGAGGATTACTGTCTCCCGAGGGTCAACGAGACCTACGAGCGATATGTTTTCAGGACCAGAGTGCAGGAGCCCGGGGAAGGCTTCGAGCTCTTCTTCCGTGACCTGCAGCTCAAGGCAAGGACTTGCAACTTCGGGGACTTGTCGGAATCGATGCTGTGCGACCAGATCGTTTACGGCACCGCCAGCAGGAAACTGCGGGAAAGACTCCTGCGTGAAAAAGACCTCACCCTGAGTAAGGCTGTAGATTTCAGCAAATCCGCAGAAATCTCGGAGCGCCAAAACAAGACATTCGAGCACGTGGAAGAAACCGTTGACCCCGTAGCTAGCAGAAAGAAATGCAAATATTGCAGCTATGTTCATGAGCCCCGCTTGTGCCCAGCATTTGGTAAGGCATGCAAGAAATGCGGCAAAAAGAACCACTTCGCTAAAGTCTGCAATAGCGCAAAAAAGTCCGTGGACAACGTGATCAACCAAACAACGGGTTCTCCCACGGACACCGACGATTTTGACATTCTGTCAGTCAACGGAGAAAGAGGAAAAGCGCGACTGGATGGTCACCGCGAAGACAGGCGGTCACGAAGCCCGTCTGAAGGTCGACACTGGAGCACAAGCAAATTTGCTGCCCCTGTCTATGTCCAAAAGACTTCGTCTGTCAACGCCGCTCGAGCCGAGTTCCACAACCCTGCGGTCCTACGGCGGAGCGACGCTTGAACACATGGGAAAAGTGTGTCTCGACGTTCAGATACACGGACAAAGGGGTCGGTTGAACTTCTTTATTATGAAGAAAGGAAGGCAAGCCCTTCTTGGCCTTGATTCCTGCGAGAAATTTGGCTTGGTCAACAGAGTTGATTCCATAGAAGACAAGAATGACCTGGTGCAGCAATTGACATCCGAATTCCCGGGTTTGTTCAAAGGGCTGGGAAAAACCAAGACTGAATACAGGATGGTGCTCTAAGACAATGCACAACCGGTAGTAATACCGGCCCGACGTGTCCCTCATGCTCTCCGGGGCCCCTTGAAAGCAGAGCTCGACAGGATGGTTGCAGGCGGCATCAACGCGAAAGTTCAGGAGCCGACCGATTGGGTGAGCCCTTTGGTTGTGGTTAGAAAGAAAACGGGGAAGATTCGTGTTTGTATGGATCCTAAGCACGTAAATGCCGCCTTGAAAAGGGAACATTTTCACTTGCCGCAAAGGGAGGACATTGAAGCAGAGCTAGCTGACGCAAAATATTTCAGCAAGCTATACTCGGCGACAACTTTTCTTGGCAATGCAGAGGAAGTTGGCGATAGCCCACGAACAGCGCTCAAAATTGGATAGAAAACACGTGCCTGTACCCTCCACTGCGTTGCCAAGAAAAGTTGTCGCTGAGTCTACATGCCAACAACGGGTTTCATCAAATTCCGCTTGACAATTACACATCCCAGATATGCACGTTCGCAACCCCCTTTGGCCGCTATCGTTATTTAAGGCTCCCTTTCGGCATCGCTTCAGCGCCTGAAGTTTTTCAGAAAACCATGAGCCAAATATTTGATGATCTTCCAGGTGTCAGAGTTTACATTGACGACGTTCTGGTTTGGGGAACTTCACGCGAAGAACATGATTTGTGGCTAAGAGCAGCATTGAGGGCAGCCCAGTTAAGTGGCATCACTCTAAACGCTGAGAAATGCACGTTTGGAGTAGACGAGATACGGTACTTAGGGGACAAGATCAGCCGAAGCGGAATCAAGCCGGACCCCGAGCTAGTACAATGTCTTCGCGAGATGCCACTGCCGACGTCCAAAAAGGAGGTCCAACGCCTGTTAGGAGCCGTAAACTACTTCGCCAAGTTCCTTCCTAATTTGTCATCAAAGACAGCCTTGCTTAGAGACTTGATTAAGGAAGACTCACTATTCGAATGGAGCGATGTCCACGCGCGTGAGTGGTGTTCACTTCAGCAAATGTTAACAGAAGGTCCAGTTTAGCCATTTTTGACCCCTCAAAGCTAATTAAACTGTCAACGGATGCATCAAAAGGTGCTCTAGGAGCTGCTCTCTTTCAACAGCACGGAAAAGAATGGCGTCCAGTAGGCTACGTGTCACGGGTGCTGACAGACAGTGAGGTCAGGTATTCACAGATTGAAAAGGAAAATCTAGGCATAGTATTCGGATGCGAAAAATTTCACGACTTCGTGTATGGCCAATCCATCACGATCGAAACAGACCACCGCCCGTTACTAGCTATTGCACAAAAAGCTATTGGTGATATGCCACCACGGCTCCAGAGACTATTTTTGCGTCTAATGCGGTACGAATTTGTGTTACAGTTCGTCCCAGGCAAGCAACTGATATTGGCAGATGCACTGTCTCGCATAAGGACCGGGAGCAGCGCTTCAACTACTGACGATGTCGACGTCCACGCAACAGGTGTTCTGTCCACCCTACTGAGTGACAAGACCAAAGCACGTCTTGTCAAAGAAACAGCACAAGACAGTGAACTCCAAGACGTCATCTATGGCCTGATGAGAAAGGCGCCACTGCAAGGCAAGTTTAAGACGTTCTGGTCGGAGCTCTCCGTCATTGATGGTGTACTACTCAAGGGCTCCAAAGTAGTCATACCATGAAGCTTAAGACTAGAGATGTTACAGCGTGTGCATTGCGGGCACCTAGGACTGGGAAAATGTCAATCTCGCGCAAGACAATTAATGTTCTGGCCAGGAATGACCGCAGACATAACTGCGCGGATCAGCAGGTGTTCCACCTGCAAACACTTTACATATCGTCATCCCGATGAACTGCTGTTGCTCCGAGAGACGCCCAGGCAGCCCTGGGCAAGAGTTGGAGCAGACCTTTGTCATTTTGCGGGAAAGAACTATCTGGTCATCTATGACTCTTATTCAAATTTTCCGGAAGTTGCGGAACTGCAGGACACGACGTCAAGAATGGTCATCAGCACCATGGAAAGCATTTTCTCGAGACATGGAATACCCATCGAAGTATGCACGGATGGTGGACCACAGTTCGCGGCGCGGGACTTTTCAGATTTCGCTGCACGATTCGATTTCGTTCATGTGACCTCCAGTCCATACTTCCCCAGATCCAATGGCCTCGCCGAGGAAGGCGTTCAGGTGGTCAAGAGGCTCCTTAAAAAATGCGAACACTCCGGCGATGACTTTTGGCTGGGTCTCTTGAACTACCGTGCGACGCCGCTCGAGTGTGGAACAGCTCCAGCAGAGCTACTGATGGGCCGCAGGCCCCATACTCTTCTACCAGACTTTGCGACTCCCCCAGCACGTTCCATACGCAAGCACACCCAAAACCTAAATCGCGGACACCAACTCGCCCCGTTAAAAGAAGGCGACAGTGTTAGAGTCAGAGGGGACAAAGCCTGGGACAGAAAAGCGCAAGTTGTGGGAGGCGAAGGCCCGTGGTCATATCGAATTCTCACTGATCAGGGACGAGAAATGCGCAGGAACCGCCAACACCTTTTGAAGACAGAAGAGGCGCCAAGCTTTCTCGATGAGTTCGACTCCGATGGGTATGACACGGCTGACGAAGGTGTGCCACCTTCCATGCCCTCACTGCCGGGACAAAGGGGCACTGATAGTTTATCCACACCAGCAGAGCAGGCGGCTCAATGAAACAGTACGAGTAGCACCACCAGTCAGAATTCAACATCGCCACCATCGTCACCTTCGCTCAGGCGGTCGTCCCGACAAGTCTGCCCACCACAGCGCTTGACATATGACGGGAACTTTCAGCAAGTAGTGTGACTGACTTGCAGCAGACAAAGGACTGCGCAAATCTATGATATATTGAGCGTGTGTGTTGTTTTTGTATTGTGTGTGCTTTGTTCTTTTTTTTTTTTTTCTCTTAAGACAAAGAAAGGGGGATGTATCGGCAATTGGCTAGCAACATCGTCTGCAGGTGCGCAGGCACCAGGCAGCACGCGCCAATAAATGGAACGTCGGCCTAGGGCCCTGACGTCGAGACGTGTCAGCAATCATGCCTGTCTCCTCTTTGTGCTAATCTCCCACCGTTACACATATGGCTTTTGGCCTATTGTCGTCTCAGTTGCGTGCAAATAATATTCTAACACTGTGTAAAGCATATTTCTCCCGAGACGCCTTTTACCTCCGTAATACCCAACCCATGGCAACCGGACAACCTCGGGCACGTCTACCCCCGTCGGTGTGTCTGCGAGCAAGATTTTTGAGTTTCATCATCAAGCTCTTTGGGTGCTTCTTTATGACTTGACATTCCCCTCCATACTCTATCTCAATAGTTGTGTGCAGCGTTGCCAAAGCTACAGGGGCGAGGACATGGCTCGAGCAGTTGGAGAGGAGGGGAGGGAGAAAATTACCTCTTATTTGGATCCTTTTTTGTGAATCCCACATCGCTGTGCTCTCCCTCCGAGATTAGCTTGTCACTGCAAATTCCTACAAAAGAGGCTTTCCCCTCTTTCCCACCTGTAGCTTCCGCAATACTGCACCCAACTAGCAAGGGGTATTAGTTTATTTTGGTTCCATGCATTATACTTGATACATGTGCACTGCTGTCGTTGATGAAGACACAAGCATGGTTCTGGTAAATTCACTCAGTTTGAATGCCAGCATACTGTCTGTTGGTGAATGCACCTTGAGGACTTGACTTTGACAATGTGTGCAGGAAGACGGATCTCGTGTGACAGAGATGTGGATGTTTACCCTAAGCACACTGTCTCTCTCAAACTCCTAGTTTGGTGAACACAACTTTACTGTGGATTGCAAGCGCAGCTAAAAGAATAAGTGTTTTAATCCTACGGATGGAGCCTGGAGACAGTGTGCAGCAGGACACCTATATCTCTCTTCTTATAATGGATTATTTATCATAATTAATTGATATGTGATTAGTGGCTCTATGACGGCTTTTGGTGATTCTCTTTCAAAACATTGTGCTCATCTCATGGAAACTGGCATTATAATGCACCTTGTTGAAATAAAACCCAACATTAGGAAAGGAGAAAAAGGTCCACAGACACATGGGGCATTTGGCATTTGTGTGTCTCTTTTATGGGTCTTCCTCCTCCTTTTGTAGCCTAGGATTTAGGTCAAGCTTGCAATTCACCAGCTCGCCTACGCACTCACTTTTATTCTAGTTTTTGCGAATGTCTATCGTTTTATCACGCGACAAGGGTCCGGATGCTCAGAATGTTGGGCCTTGGCGTCCTGCACTTTTCCATTCCGACGACATATTTTTCGCTTCCTCGACCCTTGCAGGCAACCTCGTGGTGACGGAGAAGCAGGGCCGAGTGCTGCTCGTGGGCATCAACCGACCTGAGAAGCGAAACTGCGTCGACTCTGAGACTGCGTGTCAGCTGGTCCAGGCCTTTCGAGACTTTGACGCAGACGACAGCGTCAACGTGGCTGTCTTGCACGGCAAGGGTACGTCCCCTCGGTCCACCCTGAGCTTCTCGAGTGTTGTAAGCTAGACTCAAGGCAGATTTCTTTTTGAAACATGCTTTGCTGATTTGGTTCGAATGGAGTAATCTTGCCGTAATGCTAGGGGAATCGACTTTCTTCTCTCCGCTGTGTCAGTGGTTTATCGTGTGCAGGAATTCGCATACCGCCGCCGATTCGCCATTTCCCACGTGGTCCGTCAACAACCCGAGTCCAGCCTGGTTCTTTCACGGGAGCGGGATTCCGCTCCCCGTTTATTGGTACATAAAACACAACGCTAAAAAATCAATCTTAACTACAAATAGTAGACTCAATCTTAACTACACTTAACTTAACTTACTTACACTTAACTTAACTTACACTTAACTTAACTACACTCAATCTTAACTACAAATACAAGCGACATTATTCAAATATTTACAAACGCACGCTAAGCCCCAAGCTAAACACAAAGAGTGCCCCCAGGCCTCATGTCCCGCGATTACCCTAGATCCGGTCGCCACACACTTGCCTGGGCTCGGTAGCCTAAGAGGCTCTTCATCCCCTGGTACATCGAGTACATATCTCGATCGATGGGCGAGGAGGTTTCTCCGCGCCCGCCATGGGGCGCCTGCAGCACCATCCAATGGCTAAGAAAGAAAGCGGCACGTCGGGAGCCGAATTTGAGATCCCGATCGACCCCGCGGCGGACCGACCATGTGATCGTGTCTGAGGCGAGGCAACTACATAGCTGCTTTGCGGCAACTATGCCAGAGTGGTTTTATGGGTGCCCTCGTGAATGCACGGTGCACCATACGTGCCAGCTTACACATCTGCTTTATTTGTATGCAATTCCTCTGAAAGGGAGGCAAGCACCCACTTCAGAGGCATTGCAACAGGGATTGGACTGTTGCCTCACCCCGTCAGACGTTACATTTAAAAAATATCTAGTAAACGATTCAGGGAGGGTGAGCCCTCCCCACTTGCCACCTTTTCACTTACATATCTCAAACATTTTTGACAGAATAGTATGTATAGTTGTTATTGAGACGAACAGAATAAAACTGTGGAACTCTCAGAAAGGAAAGTCTATTTTCTTTTCATGACCCTTTAAAGGGACACTGACAGGGTATTTATGCTCGCCGAGGTTTTAGTTGTACGTGACATATGAGAGCCCAACTACCCAGAACAGAATTTGCTGCTTGAAATTCGGTTTCTTTCGGCCCGAAAACCGCCGATCAAGAACTGGCCGGTTTGAGTCTCGCTCACTCTCTTTTTTGTGGTCACAAGCCGTTTTCTGAGGTTTAGACACAACCACTAAATTGAATCAAAGTTGTGGGTCATTCAAGGCACAGACTCAATATTAAAGATAGAAAAAACTATGAAACCCATTTTTTGTGGCTTCTAAAAAGCTGCAAATAGGTTGATTGAAAAAAAAAAAAGTTGCACAGAGAATTGGAAGCTGTGTGTGTTCACTGCGTAATTCTCAACATGGCGTCGTTTCGCGTATCGTGGGACTCGTGGCGACGGCGATGGCTGCGGACAACGGGTGTGGGACCTCTACTTCAGAACTGTCGTTCGTGGTATCGGCGAATTCTGTCTACCTTTGAAAGAGAAATTTAGGACAGATCAATAGAGTTGGTATTCATCCCATACGGCACGCCCGACTACCAAGCCGATTTGCACGAAGTTGTCGCCGAGCCGTCGCCCCCTTCTCGTGGCTGAAGACATCGCTCGTGCAAACATCAAGCACGAAGTGCGTACTTCGAGTTGAATATGCACGCGTACAATTTTTTTTACTAGGTGCGAATGTGGCCAATGCGTGGTGCTGCCCGACTTCGACCCGGGAGTCTTTTTTCTGAAGGAAAATCGGCAGCAAACTTTCTAACCTACAGTTGACCGGCTACATTATTACTAACAAAAGAGTTCACCCAGTAGCTCAGTGGAAAGATGTCAGCTTCACACGCGGCGGTCCCGGGTTCAATCCGCAGTAAAAGCGTACCGTTTTTTGGGTTTTTTTTTTTCAAACATTTTGCTATATTTTTATTTCGTTTTTTACAAATATCCCTGAAAAAAGAAAAATGTTGTAAACGAAACGTCGCTGAACTAAATGGTATGGGATTTCCTTTTTGGGTACCTGCGAACTCAATGTAATCACTTTCCACAACATGCAAGGAGCATATAAATCGGGTAGCGTCCGCTTTTCGAGGTGCCCGTAAATCTTCTATAGGAATTACAGCCAGCCATTGGTTCCGATCCCGTTGATCTTTCGGAAACTTGTGCAGACTCTGCCGCAGATTGCCACTTTCAGATGCAGGACATGTGAGGCAGCTCTCCACGCAACATATTGGGGGTATTCTTTTCACAGCCAATAACGGAAGTTCACCACAGGCACTCACTACTCATCTCCAACTTCTCAATGTACAAAACAACTCATCTTGAAGTATAGAACAGCGAGCGGAACAAACAACTGCAAACAGTTCCCGCCACGCATGTCGTCTGCTGCGCACAAACAACAAAAAAACAACAAAAAAAATGGAGGGAAAAAAAAGCGCACGATCAGGTGTAGCCACGTGACTTCCGCTACTCGCTCTCTCCTCTGCACTCCTCCGACCTCCGTGCGCAGGTTTCAGTTTCGGTTTCGAGCAGTTGCGTTTTTTGGCTTTAATAAAAATATATGTGACTCTGTTGCAAAATATTAATTGAGTAGTCTTCCAACAACCATAATGAATCGCCTGGCAAAAAATGAAAACTATTTTTTAGAGGGTGTCAGTGTCCCTTTAAGTCATCCATAATGCATGGTGTTCTTGAGAAGCATGAAATACATAACAGTGTTTTCACTCTAACCTTTCAGAAGCTACACTTTTACTGCACTGATATCTGGCCACTACATTCTTCCAGGAGAAAAAAATTACTTGCATGAATGCCTTAAAGGGGCACTGAAGTGCTTTTTTGAGATCCTCGTTTTATGGTCCTAACTCGATCTACAAGCTCTAAAGCATCCTAAAAACCAGAAATTACCTTAAAGGGAAGATGGGGCACTTCTACATTTGAGAAAAAACGCTTGAATTGCGTTCATTTGACCTTCAGAATAACAGATATCACAATTATATTTCAATGCAACGCGCCGGAGAGCCATAAGAGCAATTTGAAAATAGGGCTGAAGCCCCGCCTCCCTAGCCTTGGCAAGCCAAAAGGTCCGTCGATGACGTCACGGACAGCGACTGTCTTTCGCGTTTTTCTCGCGTTTAACAATACTTGCGCGGCAAATGGTTTTGGTATTCGGGTTCACGAGGTAAGAATACACTAGAATTCACTTCTAACTCATTTTTTTCAAGAAGCTCCGTAGCTTCCCTTTAATGCGCAGCCAATTTGCCTAGTAAAAAAGTGATCAAAGATCCCGACACTTACTGTGTTGGCGCAGCATGACGAATGGCACTACTGCACCTTGCTGAATATGGTCGAACGACGGACGGCGCTTGTCAGTCACTCGCAAGTGATGGGTTCCCTTGTGGATGAGCGGCCGACCAGTCTCCTTCGTCCAATGTGGGAACTAGGGGTGTGCGAATAGTGGTTTGAATCGAATAGCGCAGTGTCATCCCTAGCATCAACAGCGCAAAGAGAGCCGGTTGCATCGGCTTTCCTTTGCACCGCAAAGGCCATGAATGACGTTGTGCTATTCGATTCGAATCGCTATTCGCACACCCCTAGTGGGAACCCATCGCTCGTGAGTAATTGACAAGTGCCGTCCGTCGTTCGACCATATTCAGCAAGGGGCGGTAGCGCCATCCGTCATTCTGCGCCAATGGTAAGTGTCGGGATCTTTGATCACCTTTTTCATATGCAAATCGATTTTTTCTTTTTTCTTTTTTTTTTCAGGATGCTTAGAGCTTGTAGGTTGAGTTATGACCATAAAACAAGGATCTTAAAAGGCTTCTTGGTGCCAGTTTAAGTCTGATTGCTATTTGATTAGATAGAAGTTCGGTTCACTGTGGAAGTTCTGTGTCATCTGGTTTACCTCAGAAATTCCCTTTTCTTCCCAGGTGGCACATTTTGCGCTGGCTATGACTTGAGTGAGCTCTCGGAAGCCTCCGACGACTCGCAACTCGATGAGGACAGTTGGCCTATGGTGAGAGGAGAGTTTTTGAGCATTGCGCGTTGCGCTTTAGTCTGAAGAACTGCCTCTGTTCGATTAGTCCGTTCGACACATGAACCGACATGCTAGTGCCATGGCAGCACTTGATATTCGTGTCTTTATGTTCTGCTATAGATCAGATCGGTTGTATGCTAAGCTGACAATCGAGGATTTGATTTCCTGCAAAAGGAGACAATTGTTTCAAACCAGTCTGCCTTTAAATCTAGAGCCTTTATCAGATTGCGACAGCATGCTGTAATATAATCGAAACAATATTTGTGTAATTCGAGGAACGGTGCAACCATTTTCAGACTTTGGTCATTTAATTGCGGGAATTAGTATATATGGTCATCTTAAAATGTCCTTACTAAAAAAAAAAAAAAAAAAAATAATGAAAAGTTGAAGTTTGGTGTATGCCTCAACTCTTGCACAGTGTTTCAAGGGAAGTCATGGGGGGCACCATGCGATTTCCCATTGGATACTGTGTTCAGGGCCCCGAGCACTTGCTCCGGATCATCAACTTTTCGAGATCCGGTTCGGCTATAATGGAGCACCGCACTCGCCTAGCACCGGCGAAAATCGCGCCGAGCAATCGAGACAAAGGGTTGCTTGCCGCGGAAACAACGGAAAGGGTAGCAATGAAGATGGACTCTTTTCGGATGGCGCTACAAGAGCTCTCATACTCCCCTTGACGTGACCGCTTTTCCGCTGCACTTTTTTTCGTCTTTGCACACAATTGTCTCGTGTTAGAGGCTTGCGGCAGAGGGATATGGAATGCAACGCTCTGGCTTTGCCATTTTAGTTGTCCTACATCCAACTGGAAGTGTGCCTATGAACTTTGTGTCCTAGTGCGACCAGATTGGAGACCATTTCCAACCGGTCGGTCAATCTAGGTCACGTGGTTTGTGGGCTGCACTTGCAATACAGGCTGCTAGTAAACAACCAAGGTGCTGATCGTCTGCAAGCGCCTTCATCTCTCCTCCCACTCTCCCCCTTGCCAAGCAACAATGCAACGCGCATGCACTCCAGCTGATTTGCTCGAGCGGACATTAAATTGCGGACGTTCTCCATGGTTTGGGTTGCTGCCTCCCTCTCTGGAATCTAGACCCTCCACTCTTGGGGAACTTGGTTGTCTGCTTCGGAGTTTGCCACGAAGTGCGCGATCAACCGTATGCGCACTTCGTGGCAAGGTGGATGTTTGTAAATAGTTCATAGATTGCTCAAGTAGAGGCTGTGAGACGGGTGCGGGTGCGTCTGCCCAGGGCCCGTCGGGGATGCTGACACGCAAGCCTACGGTGGCAGCCGTGAACGGCTATGCGGTGGCCGGCGGCCTGGAGCTGGCGCTCTGGTGTGACCTGAGGGTGGTGGACGAGACGGCCGTCATGGGCGTCTTCTGCCGACGCTTTGGTGAGGGCTGCGCTCGCTCCTGCATTTGACTGCCCTGGCAGCGAGCCGAGGACGTCTCATTTCAGTCTCGGACAGAACCGTTTTAGTAATTGCCTCCTGCCAGTTCCTCCTAGGTAACAAGGCCGTTGTGCAGTATTTCCGACGTCACCTAAAGAGGCAGATGCAGGGCACAGATTGAAATTCGTGTCTAAAGACGAGTCTCGGCCGAATGTCGACGTTCGGCCGACACTCGTTGACGCTGAAGATTCAGCACTGTGGCGTTATCTTTTAGGCATTGCTTCTGTGCATTACCGTTTTTGCCTAGTGAGAATGAGCCGTAGCTCTCTTCTGCAGAATATTAGATGCGATGCGTGCATCTACAGCCCGGTGACTGCGGTGATAAGCTCTGGAAAGGTGCATGCTGGGAAGGTTTGGTCCTCGTGGGTTGTTGGAAAGAGCCGACTTTGTGATGACACAATATGGCATGTTGGCTCATTGAGATATGTTTGTGGTAACTTTTGACGTCTCAGGAGCACGAGGTAGCCGAGTGAATATGCCCTCTCCCTGTTGCCAGGCTCCCAGCCGTGGTTGCTAGAGTGTCAGCATGTTCAAAAGGCTGCCAAACTCTCCGAGTGTGAATGACTTTGGTGTAGTGAGATCTGACACATCGGGACCTGCAAGCAGTCTACGAGAGCCGGGGTTGAAGTTTGTGAGTGGCGCAACAATTGATCAATGGCTCACAACGATGAAATCATTTCAAGAATCGTGTCTCTGTAGCCTTCCCAGGTGAAAATTCAAAGTGGGACCACTTACAAGTGGATTATGGAACTGGCCCCACTTGCAAGTGGAACCACTTACAAGTGGTACCACTAGCAAAGTGGGGCCGGTTCCATAACCCACTTGTGAGGGGTACCACTTGCAAGTGGGGCCGGTTCCATAATCCACTTGCAAGTGGTACCACTTGCAAGTGGTACCACTTGTAAGTGGTGCCAGTACCATAAACCATTTGTAAATGCCAGCCAACCACAGATATCCGGTGGGCATTAAGTAAAGATCCGCGAATCTCCAGTGGACAGCCGTCGGACATCCAAGTGGTAATCGGTCGGGCTCCTCAATACTCACTCGTGCTCAGATGTTCTATGTTCTGAACTATGTCAAGGACAACCACGAGCCAATTGATATTGGCCGTATAATTTTATTGCCCGTTCCGTCTTCCTTTACACATCAGTGCTTATGGCGGCACGGAGCATCTTCGAGGCTTGCTGTTAAACCTTCACGCGCTGAGAAACCGTGTTGCCGTGTCATGAAGAAGACGTCTTGCCATTGTCCTAAAAAGAATTAAAAGAAGAAAAATCTGAATGTACAACGCACAAGCTCCACGTCCCCCCTTTTTTTTTTAATATGTCCACAACCGCCAAATTGACTCGCTGAACACAGCTATACTATCAAGAGTGGCACTTACCGCTTGCTTGCATCGAGACGAAAGCAATCCATTCGAACTGGGGCTCGTTTTCAGTCCTTGGAGTGTTTGGAGGTTACCACAAGGACAAAACATACGACGAACGAAGCACGCGAGCCAGCGGACGCCGAAGGAGTCGGCAAAAGCAGCAAAAGGCTCTGCTCGGACAATGGCAATGATTCAGCAGTGAATATGAGTATAAAAACATTTTTCAAAATACTGGCATAATATTTATGCAAGACTCAATTGAAAATAATTATCTCAAATATTTTACAATTTTGTACGTTACCAACCATTTGATTGTCTATGCATTCAATTCCTACTATTCGCCATTTACTCAATGGCTGCTTCCATCGAGATCAGTGGCTGCTTCTATCGAAATGTTTTCTCCTGTTAGTCTCGCTATATTTTTAACATTCGAGCACAGGTAGGTTCGTGAAATTGTATTGTGCGATTTGCATACGCTTCCGATAAACATATCCAACTTTTGGTTTTCCTATATGCGTTGTATATTAGTTATCGGCTTTCCCAACCGTTTAAGTTGGTTGAAATCTCTGAACATTTCTGTACCTCGTCGACGCTGTGAATTCATTTGCGAAGTTTCTCCAGGTAAAATATTTAATTTATGGGAGCTTGTTACGTTTCTTATTACTGGTTTTTCTACAGTTTTGTAGCATACTTCATGTTCTCATGTGCGAACCAAATATATATAAAGGAATATCTTATGAAATTGCCATTTGTAGGAGGCAAGTGGTGCAACTAGATAGAAATAATAGCTCCCTAAACCCAAGTGGAGCCGAATAAGTGTTGACACTGACCTCTTCGAAGCACAAGGTGAAAATGGTAAACTTTATAGCTGTCTGATCACATAGAAGGGCTGGAACAGAAGTATTCTGACTGACCACTTAGGTCCAACTGGCCTTCTAGCTGTAACCACTTGAAAGACAAGTGGAACCCCTTAAGACTAAGTGGTCTTCTGACTGACCACTTTGAAGGGAAATGGAACCAGTTAAGGCCAAGTGGTTTTCTGACTACAACCACTTGGGAGGCAAGTGGCCCCACTTGGCCGTCCAAGTGGAACCACTTTAACCAAAGTGGTCTTCAAGTGGAACCACTTGCTGGCAAGTGGGACCACTTGCAAAACCACTTTGAATTTTCGCCTGGGTTGCCTGGTCAATGACGGGGTAAAATGAGGTCGCACTAGGTTTCAACTTGTACAGTTGTTGGTTGCGCGTCGGTTCGTTTTGCGGCGGGCTTGAGATGTCGACAAATCGTTGGTCCAGATTCCTTTTCTGCTTTGTGACTTCTTTCGATGTAAAAACTGACAAATTTGCTAGAATAGCGTGTGCTCGAGCTCAGTTGCGTGCAAGCAATGGAGCTCGAGCACATGCTATTCTAGCTATTCTTCCAAAGAAGCAGTGCAACGATTTTTGGACCTTGGCCCAATAATTGTGAGAGTCTGTGTCTGCCACTTGTAGAATCAAGAACAGAAAACTATTTTCGCTTGCGTGCACTAACTTTCATATTAAACAATTAAACATATTAAAGGTTGGTGTGCCTCTAAACTCTTACACCGCCTTCCGAGCCACGTGCGCAGTGACGTAAATTTGGGAAATATTGAGTTTCTGGCTGGGTTTTTTTCTCAGTGTCTCCAGTGCTCCCTCTGCAATTGTTAACTTCTCAAGGTTCAGTTTGGGTGTAATAAAACACCACACTGTGATACATCGGTGATACTGACCACACTTGGTCAGTATCACCGATGGTAAGGTCAAACAGTTGAAGTCAACAGAAAAGAGAAAACGCATGTACAAACTCTTCTCCATTCGTCAAACGAACCCGGTTCAGCTCGGGAACAATAGCAGTGAAGAGCGAATGATTTTTGTTGACTTCAAGTAAATGGTGCCACTGAAGGTTATAATCAAATTTTGGTAATAAATACAAGGCTTTGGACACATTTATTCATAATTAAGGCGCAATGCGTCTTTAAATATATTTTTTATTTATCAACACGTTTTTGTGAAAATTAGCATGGAGATATGCTTTTTAATGGTGATTCATATCTGGAATGCACTCTGGTTATTGTTCAACACAAAAATAAAATGGTTTCTAGAAATAATTTTTGCCAACATTTTCAAAACCTTAGTGGAACCATGCCAGTCAAAAAATGAAAGACGTTTACAATCCCTTGTTCCTCAAGAGTGCAGCTCTTGAGGAATAGGAGGGAAGGGTACTGAAGGGAGAAGGTGGAAAGTCCCCCATTACTGACATGGATGTGGGTCGACATGTACTTAACTCAAGTCGCAGAAAATGCACATTTTTGGTGAGAGCATCGTGTGTAAATTTGGCGGGAATTTAGTGGGGCAAGTTTTCCCCCTAACTTTAGCGGGGAATTTTTTTCGCTAGATTTAGCAGGGAAATTTTTTCCGCTAGATTCAACGAAGAAATTTTTTTTGCTAAATTTAGTGGAGACATTTTTTCCCGCTATGTTTAGCGGGGAAATTTTTTCCGCTAAATTTAGCATCATCGTCATCATCCCTGATGATGTCACACATGACGTCACTGATGACATCATCAGTGACGTCGCATGTGACATCATCAGGGATGATGACGATGACGTCATTGTGATGACGTCATCCTCATCGTCATCGTCATCGCGCAATTACGCCGACAGCGATGGCGACGCCACTCAAGCCGGAAACGGGCGCTTAAGGGCTGCACTCTAAAAAAGGTAAAGAAAATTATACGTCACAGTTTTTCGGCTGCTATGTAGGTTCGCGTGAGTCCTGAGCAGTAGTCCTGGGTCTTGTCAGACTTAATTGTGCCTCTTGGCCACCTTCTTCACCTTCTCACTCTCCGTGTGAGCCTTGTCGTCTTTGTGGAGCCTCTGCTTGTCCTTCTTGAAGCTCCTGTGTGCCAGACAGCTCTCAGTGCTGTAGCCGAGCTGCTCTGCTACCGCCTTGCTGGTGTTTGCCTTGCTTTGGTTGAAGCAAGACACTTCTTCAGCGACAGCCCTTTCCACAGCCAGCAGAGAATCATGCACGCTCTTAGAGTTTTGGCCCCCGATCACCGAGTGAAGCTCTCAATGGCATTCTGTGTCATGCTATCACTCAGTGCTCCAGGAGGGCCTGGTCGCCCAGCCTCTGAAAGACTGGCTCCAGTGCTGTGCAAATGAATCCTGGTAGAGGGTTCTTGTCTTTTGGTGGCTCCTCGTGCTTGGCCAGGGCGCGGTTGTAGGAGTACCAGAAATTGTCACCTTCAGGACAGTGGCTGTGGTCCGATGCTTCGTCTGTTGACGTCATGTGCAACAAAGTTGCCTGCACCGCCTTTTTCATCCCTGAGACGTCGTGCCTGTGGGTCCTCAATGCATATCCATAGTAGTTTGTGACGTTTTTAATCTTGTCCTGGGTCAGCTTCGCTTTTCCTCCAAAAGACTCCCCTTGTGCCTTCTCCTCTATCAAAGTGCAAAGAACTGCCCCTATCCGCTTGTGCACATGGTTCAGGCAGTCCTTCTTTCAGATCTCGAGGCAGCCATAAATGCAATCCTGTGTCAAAGCACGGAAGGTGCAGCTGTCTCCGTTGGGAAGAATGGTCGTGCAACGCAGCCCATTCTTCTCCAGACACCTATTCAGCAGGTCCAAAGCTTCCTTGGCTTCCATTCAACCAGCACTGCAGTCAATGTTCTTAAGGTACTTGTGGTTCAAGACAAAGTCACCACAGCCGTCGTTCTCTGGGTCAGGTGCTCCCTGACAGCCACGGCAGTACCTGTAGAGGCCAACATAGTCCAACACCAGGCCAGAGTACAGCTCGAGTAGCACCCCACTGCAAGTTTCAAGTTGTGCCCACAAGTTTTCCACGTCCCATAAAAAATGGTGTCCACGTCTCCAATGGAGTTGAGAAAGTTCTGGTACAGGACCTTCACCACCTGCACATTTGGTGCTACTGTGACTTTTGCTCTTGCCTGGCAAGCTTGCACCATGGTGTCCATATGTCCCCTGAAGGTCTTCTGGTGAAGCCCCCCGTGAGAGAGGTTCAGGATGGCACAGAAGTCCGTGAGGGGAATCGCTCCCTTTCCTATGCTCTGGATCCCCTTCATTGCTCTCAAGGTGACCTCAAAGGGCGTGATCTTGGCCGCTCTGGTGACTCGTGGCGACGAAAAGTGGCACTCGGTTGAATTGCAGCTTGAGCATGTGAGCACTAGCTTCACTGCTGGACGCTACTGCCTCTCGTCACACTTCGAAAGTTCAACAGTCGCCATCCCGCACTTGCCGCATGTTGTGGACGCAAAGAGCTTGTGCAACGCTTTCACGTCCACAATGACATACTCTGTGCCATGATCATCGTCTTCGCTCGCCAAGCTGATGTCAAGGAGCTCGAACTTTAGCAAAATCGCCGACTTCTCCACCAATGAAAATTTTGTGTCCTCCATTGATTCTTTGTATTTATCAATGCGATCGACACTCAAGCTTGGTCTGGCCACGTCCACCAACGGTGAAGTGTCTTGTGGCATTCACAAGTGGTAAAACGACTTGCCGTGCTACCAAAGTTGACACTTCCGTTTTCATCGACGTGGTGCTTTTTTTATCTTGAGCACGTCTACGTTTACTGTGCATTTTCTGCAAGCTCACTTTCAAATGGGCGTCCCTCGCCCATTTGAAAAGCGAGTCAGGGATCAAATTATTTACACTAAAGAAAACCAGGGGCATGGAAAAGACTAGAAAGCACAAAGAAAGCAAGTAATATCAAAAATAGAAACTGGAGAAGAGCAAAGGCAGCGTGCTTTTTGGATGGCGTAGTGAACGAAAGCAGACGACATGGAGCAGGCGAGAGAGGAGGCCGGGGAAACCAGGAGGGGAGGTGCACCCCAATGCCAATTGGAGAGTGGTGCTTGGAGGAGTGCGTGCTTCGAACAATCAGCATCTCTCGAGCTCTGCTCATGTTCTTCCGAAAAGTATCGACAACGTCGCAACTCGATGCCGACACCACTTAGAAGTGCACCGAAACAAAGCGCAGGAATCCAGCTTTCAAACAAGACCACGATGGTGCTGGTCGGGCTCTTCAATGCTTACAAGTTGTCGTTTTTTTTATATTTAGAGACTGAATTGAGCGTTCATATTTTGGGAGAGTATACCGTGGACCATGAAGGCTTCAAAATTGTGATTTCTGAAAAATGAAATTTTTAGCGATTTTTACTATTTTCAGATTCGCCTCGCCCCTTATGCAACAGTCCTCTAGATCACAATGAACCAAATAGCCCTCTAGATCTTAATGAACCAAAGTTTTAATTCAGTACTTTTAAAACTTGGCCTGGAATTGTGCAAAAAGTTGCACAACTTCCTAACTTACAAATGTGCTCCCCTGACGATGTCACACCCTGGTTCCAATGACTGCCATATATGGCTGCAGATTGGAAAATAATAAATTTCTTCTTTTGTGATTATGTGGGCGGAATCGCAACATCTCAGGGGAATGTGACTTTTTTTCTTTTTTCGCTCGCTTATGCCAAGGTGAACAACATAAAAAATACAAGCTGTCAATCATTTTGGTTGCATTGTCCCTTTAATATTTGGCCGCACCTTTTCAAGGCCACAAGCAAATACGTAGAGTTCGCAATTTGCGATGAGGTGAGGACCAGCTGAGCAAGTGGAGGGAAATGCAGATTTCCTCTTCTGCACCACATCATGCAGCGCTTGTCAAAACATCCAACATTGCATTTTGTTTTTGTTGAGATTTTGACGCTCCAAATTACTACCGTTTTCAAGCGTTGACCTTTGCAAAAGCTTTTTTTTATTTATTGTATCCGAGGTATATCTTCAAGTTTTTACATTCGAAGCATGCTTAATCCTGATCGGAAGCATACAACTAAGCACCAAATTGAGGTTTTTTGGTTTTTTAACTATACCTAATGCTTTGCTCTTCCACAGTGTACTCTGTACAGACTCTGATCTAGTTATTTTTCCAGTATGAAGCATCGTGCTTTCAGAGACCGAGTGTCACTGCTTACTTGATGACGGATTTCACAGGGATTGCCTCGTGAGGCAAGTGATTTGTGAAACGAGTAAAATTGTTCAGTTGACGGTCCATGCGTGTTCCCAGGCGTGCCGTTGCTGGACGGGGGTACAGTTCGGCTTCCTGCCCTGATCGGTCTGTCCAGAGCGCTGGACCTGATCCTGACCGGCCGGCCAGTCTCTGCCAAGGAGGCTCTGGACATTGGATTGGCCAATAGGGTGGTCTCGTGCGGCACGGGTAAGCTTGTTCGGGGTGACGTGCCTTCCTTCGGGTTTCCGGGTCGGCAGCGCTCGTCAATAGAAAGAGGCGCAGACCGCCGTAAAATACCATGCAGGCACTCACCCAAAATATGGAAATACCAAATATTCCGGCGTATAAATCAAGTTTTCACATAGCCAACCCTTCCGTCGGTCTCAAGTTGGTCCAAAGCACGGTGGCATAACTCCATGGCTGCAGCGCCGGATCAACCTCACAAACAAGTCCACCTTACGGGTCAATCTTTTTATGAGAGTGGCCATTTATAGTGGGGTGGAACTTATACGACGGTACGATCTATAGACCGGAAAGTATGGTAATCTTTGGAAAGTTAGAAAATGGCTGCTTGTTTTGTCCAAGAGCAAAAAATGCAGAAGGGGCACATGACAGAGTGGTCTTCAACACTTTGCATTGACGTGCCCGAAAGAGCAGCCGTCACGGAGGAACGTCTCTGGCGGCTAGGTGGGCTCAGAAGTCTGAGACGGACATGGAGCTAACTGATTTGTACTTCACAGTGCATAAACTTCTCACAATAGCAGGTAATCACTTCATTACAGACACAAAAATATACACACAGCGCTGACTCACAACTCTTTGTGTTTTGTCTTAGTTTTCTTCTACCTAGTGTTAAAACAAAATCTGGAAATTGTTTTGTCCTCATTTTTTTTCTCTGCGCCTATTAAAACAAATTTTTAAAAAAATAGTCTGTGTATGTGTTTATGTCTGTAATGGAGTGATTGCCTGTTATTGTGAGACGTTTATGCGCTGTGAAGTACAAATTATAGAAAACCAACTAGCCCAAGCTGCAGTCTTAACGAGCCAATTGAATCAAGTGGACGACGAACAAGCGTGGAAGCCTACATTGAATGCGGTTTGTAAACAGACCAGGAGTGCCTTACGATTCGCTATATCCTCCTTTTGTATGCTCCTTCGGTTGCTATCACTTCTTTCGATTTTGCACCCCTCGCATCCATGGTTTTGAATTTGCTTAAAATAGGGGAGTGGACATTCTATATGTCCTTTGATTTAAATTTTTCGAAAGGGCCAAGAGGATAAGACACAATATGTGTCCTATCCTATTGAATGAATTCTGTTTCTGCTCGTCAAGTTCAATTTTCTACTTTGTTTCAGTCGTTTGGTCTCTTTAATGTAATCACTTGTCCTACTCGCTTTACTTCATTCAGTGAAACGTTACTGGACTTGTGTATTACAAACAAAACTTGCACTCGGGTCTCTTCTGGTGTAGTGTGTTCTGATATCAGTGACCATCTTCCAATTTATTTTCTTGCTGATTTAGATAATTTAAGGAAAGCCCCTAGTTATGATACCACATACTGTACTCAAGTTGTTAACGTTCAAACGCTAGAAACGTTCAGGCACTGCGTGGCTGATGAAGCGTACGATTACTTTATAGATCAATTTGATGCTATATATAAAGAATGTTTTAAGCCTAAAAAAGTAACTATATCGAAAAAGTCTAAGAAACCATGGGTCACCAAAGTAATATTAAGAATGATAACTAAAAGAAACAAGCTCTATGCACGTTTTTTGAGCACTAGGGACCTAGATGTGTTTCAAAAGTTTAAGAAGTTTTGAAACGAGATAACCAGCATGCTAAGAAAAGCAAAATGTTCATATTATTATAGAATGTTTCACAGTGAAAATAGAAGTGACGTAATTTGGAAAAAAGTTAATATTTTATTAGACAGGAATGTTCACGATAACGTTACAAGGGAACTTATACAGTGTAGACCGCATATAACGTATATCTCGGGAGTCGCGAAAATCCGCACTATAAGCGGTACCGCACTATAACCAAAACATCAATTTTTCAGGCCAAAATACATGCCATGAGACAACTTACCTTTGTAAAAGAATTTATTTTATGTTAGATGAAAAATAAAGCTTAGTTTGAGGAAAGTCTTTATTTCAATAGACTAGTACAGTTATGTCTCAAGTGTGTCACACATTTTAAAAGAAATTAGCGGCTTTTGCCTGGTGCAGCCTTTTAACGGCGTCGCAGGTTGCGGACGGACGTTGCGAGCGTTCATGATTGCTAACCCTAATCACTTTTCTCCGGAGATGAAAACGCGTGAAAATTCGCACCCTTCATACGGTACACGCCAGTAATACCTTGAACTTCAGCACACGCATGAAATGCGCCAAATAAGAAATCCGGGCGATGTTCGAGGACACAAATGCTTAGAAATCACCACTGTAGTCGAAGTAAACAAACACGACAACACGGGCGTTTCTGCCGTCTTGAGAGCGCCGCCACGACATCGCCGCACGAGTAGGTGGATCTTCCCTTTTAGTACGTGCTGGGTTATCATAGCGACACACAACGAAAATTCACAGTCAAGGATAGTGCTTTTACGCAGGACGATGAGATGCACGCCGTCTACGACGACGATCACAACCGACGCCATGTTTGCGGAATAGAAGCAGCCGGCCTTTGGCCTGCGACCGGCATGCAACGCGCGCGAACACTTCTCATTGACCTGCGATTGGTCTGTCGTTGCGATTGTTTGTTTCTTTGTTTCCAACGCAGCGGAGGGACGCACGCAGGTGAACGACTCGTGCGTGCGTCCCTCCGTCGCTATGGCAACTGAAGCCTCTCTTTTCGCTTCTCCTTGTGTTTTCGGGCAACCTCCTTGCCCCGCGAGTGCAGTTTGCGGCTCGCACCGTCAGCGTCGTTATCTAGTGTCGCACAGAGAAGCGAGCTCGCTGCTCCGGTCGTCGGCGCGGTCGGCGGGCTGTGTCAAAAACCGCACTATAACCGGTATTTCCCTTCGCGCGCCTGCATATTAAGCGGTATGTAATTACATGGAGTTCTATGGGAGGTGAACCGGTGGTTTAAAAAAACCGCGTTATACCCGGTCCTGCACTATAAGCGGTTACGTTGTAAGTGGTCTATACTGTAATAGAAGGTAATAAGTTGAGTTGAGTTGAACTAGCAAATAAATTTAATGATTATTTCACAAATGTGTTCTCCCCTGTGCAAACAAGCAGCTCCCCGTGTTCAACTCAAGGAATTTCACAAAACTGTTTTCTGTTTCCTACCGACGAGAGCGAGGTAAGCTCGGCATTTCTGAACTTCAAAAACAGTAAATGTACCGATTTTAATGGAATGCAGGTGCAGCCAATAAAATATGTGCTTGACATTATCTCGCCTTCCCTTACACATATCTTTAATTTGTTGCTCTCGACTGGTGTTTTTTCTAAAGGTATGCAGATAGCTAAGGTGTCTGTCTTATACAAGTCCGGAGACAAAAATGATATGTCCAACTACAGACTATTGCCTGTTTTTTCCCAAGGGTTTAGAGAAAGTTATTCATGTTAGGCTTAATAATTTTTGTGAAAAAAATATGCTACTTACAGATTCTCAGTATGGTTTTCGGAATGGTTGCTCTACTGAACTGGCTCTTTTACAACAGAAAGAAATTATCTTAAACAATTTTGAAAACAAGTGTCTAAGTTTAGGAATATTTATTGATTTTTCTAAAGCCTTTGACCGGCTGACTCATAAACTTCTGTTAGAAAAACTATTTTCTTATGGAATTCGAGGGCATTCCCTGACTTTAATAGAAAGTTACTTGAGTTTCCGGCATCAAGCTGTTAAAATAAACAGATATTCCTCAATGCCGAAACCAGTTCGGACAGGAGTACCTCAAGGTAGTGTCTTGGGGCCATTGCTGTTTAACTGATTTATAAATGATATAGTTACTATCACAAAAAATGCCTCATTTGTCATTTATGCAGGTGATACCAGTATATTTTTTTCAGGAAAAGACATTGATAGTTTAATTAACGATGCAAATATATGCCTTGAAAAACTTAGTTGCTGGACTGTCTCTAATTCCCTGAGAATTAATGAAAGTAAAACAAATGCAATTATCTTCAAACCGAAAGGCACAGTGTGTAAGGCCACCACAAAATTAATGATGAATTCCTCGGAGGTTAAGTTTGTAACTACTGTTAAAACATTAGGCGTGATTTTTCACGAACACATGTTATGGGACTCGCATGTTCAAAATCTTACTCTCAAACTTTCAAGCATCATAGGTATTCTATATAAGAATCACTATACATTGCCATCTCGTGTAAAGCTTTTAATTTACAATGCATTATTTAATCCTCGTATATTATACTGTCATCTAGTTTGGGGAACTACGACAAGTACTAACGTTAATAAATTGTTTTGGCTGCAGAAAAAAGCAATTTGCATCATAACTAATGAGTCTTATTGTGCACATACTGAACTCTTTTTTCTAAACATAAAGTAATGAAAATCAAAGAATATTTTAACTATAAGCTAGCAACTATGTACATGGCATCACTTAAATTTCCTAATCATCCATTACGGCAAATTTCCAAATTGACTAGCAAAAATATTGTATACGATATGCGCAGCGCCGGAACCTTGAGAGTACCACGTCCAAGAACTAATTACGGTCTTCAGATGATTCAGCACACACTTCCAACTGTATTGAATTTTTTCAAACAAAAAGGTGTCTGCATTGAAAACGTAAACAAGAATAGATTGCATGAAATGTTATCCTCCTAATAACATATTTTTCGGAGTGGTGCATAAATGTTTTTTTTTCTTTTGTTTCAAATGATGTAAGTGTATCCCGCTGACCGATCTGCCTGTAGGGGGCAGGGGCTTCGTCAAGCTGCATTTCTGCAGCTTTTTTCTCCTGCCTCCATCGCCCATTTTGTGTTATGGGAGTAAATAAAATGAATTAAATTGACCTGAATTGAAACTTAAAAAAAAAAAATGTTTTATGGGAGTTCAGTATCCTTTAACCCCCTCACTGCCGCTCCTGAGGTAACCCATATCCCCCCCCCCATGCACACACCCATTGCTACTGCCAAGTAGTATGCTTGTTTTGCATTTTAAGCTCACACCCTGTCGCACCCAAAACATCTCAAGTAAAAACAAAAATGGGCCGAAATTGATGTTGTGACACTGATTCTGGAAGGAATGCGTGATCATTTTGCATATCATTTGCATAACAAAGCATGGTGAATGCAGCCTCTCAGCACTGTTCCACAGGGTGAATATTCCTCAAACCCCTCCTCTCTGGTGCAAGCAGATCAGTTCAGTTAGCGTATGCATGAAGGACGTGCACGTGATGCGCGTACAAGAACAGAGCCATTTTGTTGTGCATACTTATTCACCACGAGCCTGCGTTTAATCCTGCGGCGGAGAGTCGGCGGTTTCACGCGATCGGCGTCATCGGTCCTCTTCGACCCTGCAATGCCGCGCCTGTTGTGCATACGGTGCCGACGACACCGTGCGCTTACGGCCCGGTGACGCGGTAAGAGGACTGCACGTCAAAAACAATGTGGCAGGTTGAAGATTGTAATCGCAGCCCGTGTGCATCCACAGGTCTCCAAAGCCGGCGGCAGGAGCTTCTGAGGACGTCCAAAGCCCACCATCTGTCGGTGCTTGCAGAAAGTGTTTCTTAGCCAGTTTCCACAGCCAGCGAGGCTGTAGCGCCATTTCGTGGCAATGTTGCAAACTTTGGTTAGTCCAAACCAGTCCAAGGTCGGCGCATGTATCAGGGCGCTAATGCTAATGCATTAAAATAATGCGGGCTCGTTGCAACATCTACGCAGAGGTCACCTAAACGCATAGGACTTGTCAATTGTGGGTTAATTTTGAGGGAACGAGTGGAGCGCACGTTTCTTCATCTGCTCCATCGCTTCATCTCGGTGGCGTGTCGACGTGGCATGCACGTTTGCTCTTTGATGGACGAAACAATTTATGAACTTTCAATCAATTCTGACTCTGACGAAAGCGGTAACAATGATGCAGCTTATATAAGTGGCTGTTTACGCGGGATTTTGTGGGTGCAAGTGTTGAGCAGACAAAACATTTCCAGCGCCTAGTACTTCCTGCATTTATTTCGGCGGACCGATTCCGAATGAACTGGTTGAAAGCATGACTGCGCGTGAATTCCACGTATTTCTGGCTCTCTGATGGCACATGTAAGGAAGAGCACAATCGCCGAGTTACTGGGGCAAAATGTCTGCTAAACCAACATGCAAACAAAAAAAAAAAAAAAAAAAAAACAACAAAAAAAAAACAACCTGGCAGGAGGTGAGGTGCAGAAAAAAGACCAGGCAGTGAAATGGCTAAGGTCAGCCTTTTGTCGACTACCAATCAATTGCCCCTCCACTCTCCCCTGTCCTCCCTCACACAGCCCTGGGCCAAGCCATCAGCCTGGCTGGGAGCATAGCCAAGTTTCCCCAGCAGTGCGTCAGGGCAGACCGGGCGTCGGCCTACCACGCCTGCTTCAGCGGCAGCCTGCAGGAGGCCCTGGCCTACGAACGAGACAATGGGAAGAATGTTCTAGCAGCGGAATCCATACAGGGCAAGCACTTTCTTTCCCCCCTTTATGCAACCGTCCCGATATCCCGATCTAATGCCTGCTTCTCGTTGCCTCCTTGACCATCCTCTTAATAGGCAGCATAAAGGTTTCTGGAAAAAAAAACCCAAAAAACTATCAATCATTTTATTTCAAAGTGCAGCACTTGTTTAGTACACACATCTATAGGCTACATTGTTGTCTAATTAATATGGACATGTCCGTTCCCCCTCAAAACCGTCTGTAATGTAGATTGTCTATAGTAATGAGACAAAAATGAATGTATTTACCCAGTTTGTCGCTGAAAATATTGCCTACCCGTATAGCGGATAGCGGGTTTGCCAGATTAATGGAGTCCATATTAACGAGACATAATGAAGTTTGGTGCTTGCCGTTAAATGAGCAGGAAAACTCGACACCTGCGCATAACGAGCTCCAGACTTTCCCTAAAGGCATATTTTAATGGTGATTTTTTTCCTCACGAATTTTCTTGATAAAATTATGTTCCGCTGAAAAATCGGGAGGACACCTTGACACTTTCGACAGCGGACACTGATGCCGACAACCGAGTCCTACGAGAGTCATGCGTGTGGTGCCGTCTCCCGATAGTTAGGGCAAGCACTCAGTAACGGTTGTATGCTTTCATCCACGAGTTTGGTACACATACTGGGAGATGGTGCCACGATCATGATTCTCGGTTGACTCGGTAGTCTGCATTAACACCTGCCGTTTGGAAACGACAAAGGTGCACTTATAATTTTTTGTGGGAATAGAGCTACTCCTTAAATTTTCATGAGGTAGCTTCCACCACTGAAATACACCTTTGGGGAAGGTTTGAGCTTGTTTTACACGCAGGTGCATAGCTTTCAAGGTTCAGGGTTCTGGGGCTGACGAGCCGCTTGATTCGTAACACTCTACACCTTTCTGCAAAGCACATGGATAATCATTCATAGGCATCTGTCCAAGGAGCCTAGGAAATAATGAGGAAGAGATACAATGTCGCGCGAAAACGCTGTCTACGCTGCAGTGCCGGCCACGGCAGTTTGCACGCCCAGAATCCAACAGAGGTTGCAGTTTTGGGAATTTATTTCTTCCAGGTCTCTTTATTCGCTCTTTTCCTTCTGTAGGTTAGAACCATTTCCAGTCTCCTTGCTTCGTGCGAAAATGGGGGCCCGTGCTTTTGCTCAGAATTGGGGCAACCTCTATCTGAGAAATGTCATAAATAATGTGCACAATTCAATAGCTGAAAGCCTTACGAACAACGATAGTTCAGTATTGGAAGGTTTCACACCACGCCATTTTCAGCGCAAAGTGTCGCGACAGCTCCCGCTAGCCAAGTATTGCCCAATATTTTCTTTGTGTGGAAGCTGCATTTGTCAGTTCGATGATGTAATTTGTGCTAGCAGGAGTAGCCAGTGACAGAAAGGAGTGGCAGGCTCTTCCGAATGCATGCAGTTGAATGCACTTAATGACAAACTCTCTAGTTTTATAATTGGCCCGACGGTACCACCATAGGGCCAGAGGTCCCGATATTAATAAAAGAAAACATTTTCACCCCCGCTTCTTGCGCCATGTTCCATCAAACACTTTTACATTTGCTGCTCCTCCCTTGTCAGCATTTTGATCTTCATGAGGTTTTGGCTGGCAATTTTTCCGACAGCGACATAAAGTGTCTTGCTAGTGAAGGTCTTTTGGCGCATTGTTGTTTGCAGGCCGAGAATCGTGCCGAAGCGCGGAAGTTTACAGCTTTTGAGTTGACGGACGGCAAAACTCGCGCAATCTCCCGCCGTCGTAGCTTTGCTTTGCGCTTACGTCTCCATCCGATGTGCACGATTTAATCGACAGTCACCTCCTTTCCTCTTGTTTTCTCTCGGCATTTCGGGCGCGTGGAGGAGAGGTGGATCGGCTTCACCTTCACGTTGAGGTGGTGAGAGCGTATGATCATCTTATTGGGGTGGAAAGAGCGTGAGACCAACCCGTGACGTCATGAACTTTGTGCAAAATTTATAATAAATCTTGTGCCATCAATATTGCTCTAAAAATTGTTTTTTTTTTTCGTGTAGAATTAATTTTTTGACATGCGTGTCCTAATTAGACTGTTTAAATAATTTTCTTTTTCTTCTTAGGGGCCTTTTAAACAGTCAGTTTATTGGGGCTAATGGCACGGAGGGATTTGTTGCTGGGACGACTCTTTGTTTGGGAAGAAGCGGAGTAATCGACGGTTTTCTAACTTAGATACACCTTCAGTTATGTGCCCTTCCGAATCCCATGGATGTTACATCTGAAGCCCCTCGATGTGTTTGCGATTGTCTTACAAGTAGCGTCAAATGCGTCATTGCACGAGGCCTGTGCCGCATGCGGCCCTGCCATTCCTGACACGTGTCTCACTTTTCGTACAGCAATGGTTATTGTCAGTACTTGATGAAATGTGAAGCATAAACATCATCGAGAGGCTTTGGGCGTACCTACCCATCGCGTTTTCTGAGACTACCGACTCCCGAGAGATTACAAATTGGTGGTTGGTTACATGCATGACCAAGGTTTGGTGCGTTTTTTATACCTTCAATTAGGTATTTTAGGGTACTTCCTTACTCAGTTCTCTTCACGAGGCTGTAAGATACTGCAAATGAATAAATGAAGAGAAAATGGCAAAAGATGTTTGCCAGCATGCCCACAGATGGCTGCCAAAACTGGTTCCTCCATTCGCCCTTTTTTTGTTTTGTGACAAAGCTTTGTAGCACCATCTGTTGGCTAGCCCTGGCGCTTATCCGGTCTTCATATATTTCCTAACTTTTTTACACGTCATTCCTTCGGCATAGGCTCGAAATAATCCTAACAATATCATAAGCAGAGATTCATTTTTTCAGCGTTTATTTTTTTCTAAATGGGGGGGGGGGAATTCTGTATTTTTCAGTGTTTCTCTTCAGTGTCGGTAAAAAAATCGGTGTTTAACAGGGCTTACATGGAAGGACACGGGCATGGGACTCCCTAACCTCTAGGAAACATGCGCATGACCCGAATGCTTTGGAAACATTCAGTACCGGTCAGAAAAAGACAAAAGATAAGGGACGTGGTCAGCCGAGAAAGCAGCAGCCTCGTAGAAAGTTTTGTGATGGCTGTAATCCGAAGAAAATAAAGCTGCAGATAAAGATTTCTTTCTATGAAATGTAGGCTTTCTTATTAAAAAACGGTTCCGATTCGGGGTTTGGTTTTTCTTGATTTCAGTAAAAGCAGCTTGGCGGTTACCTATTTTTTTGGTGTTTATCTGTATATACTAAAGAAACGCAGCACCCTAGTCATAAGCAACCATTGACCCCCCTAAGTGGGACGTTGCTGCCCCAAACAAACAGTTGCTAGGGACATTACTATGGACAAATACACGGGTCTAGATTTCGCTAAAAAAAATTGTCGTTCAAGAATCTGGACATGGAACAGGCACGTAGCCAAAGGGGGGACCCATGGGGCCCGGGGCCCCCCCGAAATCTTCCATTTTGCTGGGACCTCCTCTCCCCCCTCCCCCTCATATGGCATTTTGTAATGGGTGGGCCCCCCCCCCCCCCCCCCCCCCCGAAACAAAATCCTGGCTACGTGCCTGACGTGGAATATATATGTTGAAAAAGAATACATATAATAAGCCTAGGTTTCATACTTACCACGACAGAAGTTTGCGAAGAATCAGCTGTTTCTGAATTGGTTGCGATAGCAACCTCTGGTGCTCAAGATGTCTCGAGATGCCTGCTGCAGGCAACGAACGCATATGGAATGACTGAAGCATGCCGTCTGCAACAGCTTGAATCATTTGCATAATGATACAATTGTCATCTTGTATTCATTGGGAACATGACATGTCTAAGAAACTCGTCAGGTTTATAAAAATGATTTGTATTTGTGTGTGATCTGGGATACTATCTGATGAAAATCATCACACGTATGGAGATGTGCTAAAAATGTGGCGAGAGAAGCATCTTTTTAGAACATGATGTCCAAGCAGCGTCAGTCAGTGCATTGTAATGAAGGGAAAACTATTTTGACTTTAACATAGCAATTGTTTTTCAGGCTCGCAATATGGGTGTGTGTTTTGTACCTCCTTGTTACCATCACACTGAAAAGAAATCCAACTGATTCTCCCGTTTTCAGTAAGACTCAAAATAGAAAAAAGCCGAATAAATTCGGACAGTTCGTTTGATCGCAAATATGTGCACTGAACCGTCGGAATTCCCTAAAATGTGCCGTCAGAGCTCCCTAAAACGTGTGCTGGCCTGCACTTCGACGTTGATACACTTTGCATCGTCGTCTTATGTGATTTGGTTTCATAGTGCAGTGATTTGATTGCTGTGCCGATTGCGCCAAACTGTGCCAAGGGGCTAACCCTGCTACATCCTGCTACATTTTGCGAAAATATCGGTAATCTGCGCCAAGCTTGAGCCAGAGGACCAATTTCACTCGCCTTTCAATACCCAAACTAAACTGAGTACCGTAATTGAGCATGTCTGAGTTACGTGGCGCAAGCGGCCGCCCGACACAAAGTACCCTGCATTAATTGTCCATCTGGTCTTGCATGGTTTTCTCGCCGTCTCACGTTTCGCGCTCTCGTCATCTCGTAAATCTCGTCTCGCGTCTTTTTTTTTTTTTTATATACTCTACGATAGATGCGGGTGTGTGTGGACGCTTCGACGCTAGCGTGCCAGGTACCAGCCATGCCGTCATGCTGTTTAACGAAAGCATGTTTTTGCGGGGCGGGAGTTATTTTGTGAGCTGGAGCACTCTCTCCTGAAAGCAACGGCCGTGGGAAGCAATATTTGGTCTCTGCCTTCCAGTCACCGTGGTCGCGCGACATCGGGTGTTGCCGTCCCCACGGCGCTGCAGATATGGCACCTTCTTAAATGAAACTAAGTACCGCCGCATGTTCATGAACATTCCTGTTCTTGTTTAAATCATACGTTACTACAAAAATTCCTCTTTAACTCAAAGACTGCTGTTTCAAAGTATTGATTACCCAGGTTTCTCTCAGTGGGCTTTCTTTCGAGAGGGGCCCCGGTACGTGAAAACTCTGCTGCGAAAGAAAGTTGATGAAGGGAAGTTAGCTAAAGCAAAGAAGGCAATGTCTGCATGCTGAACCCTCACAGCGCACTTGTTTGTCTCAAGTTCAGTCGTTGCACAAAGCGCTGCAAGAACTTTTTGACCCTGGCTCGCGATGTGTTGCATCGATAGCTCAGGTACTTTTTCCCCCCTTTTTTTGTATGTTTAGCTTGTACCGTGTTTGCCGGCCTGGCAAGCACGCACCGCTGGACTGTTTATTGTCGTATGCTCGACATTTACATTTTGCATACAGTTTGATGATCAGTTGGCGACGGAGCGGAGTGACATGGTTTCAGTTTTGATCGAACAGCCGTGTTCTCAGCTTGCGAGATGAAGCACGCGCAACTGCAAGCCTGCCGAAGTTAGCCTCATGTGCATGCGAACATGATTGCACGACAGAAGCACCAGCCGGGACACTTGCAATCCATTGTTTTACGTCTGCTTACTTTTCACGAAAATCTGGCACGTCAGGAACCAGTAAAACGGTGGCAAGCGGTTTTTCGAAATTGCTCGGCAATGCCTACATGACTGTACACTTGTGGGATGTCTCAGCAGTAAAAACACAAGTGGCGAGTTCTGTCACAACACGCCACATCAGAACACAACACAACACAAAGTGCCCTTCATATGTACAGCACTTAAAACAAATATTTTTATTTTTCTAAAAATATCTGCTCCAAAAGCCACTTTTGCTGCTCCGAAACACTGTTTTGGCTGCTCCAAAAGCCACTTTTGCTTCTCTAAAACACTGTTTTGGCTGCTCCGAAAGGTGCTCCAAAATGGCTTCGGCCAATCACATCAATGATAGTGTTTTTACCCTTTTTAAAATATTGCGGAAGCCTCCACAGGCAGGCGCTCGTGCACGTCGAGCATCAATCAAAGCTGTGCCTAGGCACTCTTTGTTTCTAGAATCCTACAGAAAGTTAACCCAAAGAAGAGGATTTTTGTCGCTCATCACCAGCTTAACCACTGAAGTAGCGAAGCCATTGTGTTGTTTGCTAGCAAGGCAAAGCCCGTCGCAAAACTTCATTACTGGCTTTTATCGCAACTTCATGGTTATAGAAAAATTTATAATTAGATATTGAGAAGGCTCAATGTTTACGAAAAGTAATTCACTTTTTTTGTTGGACATATTCTAACCTAACGTCGAGTCCCCATACACTTGTCCATAACAATGGCCCTAGCAACGGTTTGTTTGGAGCTCAGCTCCATGTGTTGTGACGTCATCACTTGTGGGGTCAATTGCTCGAAGAGAAAAGATAGATTCAATCTCGCAGATACCTCAAAACCTGCAACCTATTTTCCACTTCAGCATAACTCGGGTAATGGCCAAAGCCGCGACCAATCAGAGCATCGAAATGAGGCTCACGATGACGTTCTGTCGCAGAGATCTGCCATGTGCTTCACTCTGTTTCTCGGGTTGGCCCGCGGTGTCTGGAACCTCCTCTCTTTACCGAGTCGCACAGAAACGGAGCATAGTTGGGGACATTTTGGCTCGCCCGAGAAAGAGCGAATAAAAACGGTACTGCATCCCCCTTAGCGTCGTAGCGAAGTGAGTTTGACCGCTAGACTTCTAACACCTGTTCATTTCGTCGCCCCGTTTGGGACAGTTAACAACGTTAGGGGGGACGCATGACTTCATCGATCACTCCCTTTTTTTCTTGCAGGAGCGAAGAAGTTTGTGTCCGGCATCGGACGCCACGGGAGCTTCAACCTACTTCATGCCCCTCGGAAGGACGCGTCGTAGCCCTCTTCCACGCCGGACTCATATTAGCATTGCACGGTTTGGAGAGAAAGGGGATCAAGAAACGAGAGGCCCGTCCAGAACCTTCTAGATGACGAGACCACGGTGCTAGTCTTTTTACGACACCCATAGCTGCCGACTGGACGAGAACAGTAAGGCGTCTCTTTCGAATTCCTAGCCTCTCGAGGATCTCGAGAGGCCGGAGCGTTACCGACTGTAGGATGCTCACTCTGGAGGCGCAACGACGGAGGGATCATTGCCGGTCTGGTTCTGTGAGACGCTACTGTACAGGAAACCAGCGTGGGTCACATACTGGACACGACTGCCGAGTCAGCATTCAGCCGGGACTCGTGTCCTCGCCGATTGAACGCAAGTTCAGGCTGAACGCTAATGCGGCACTCTTGTACAACCCCCACCCTCGTGCTGGCCTCCGGTGGGTGATGCAAAAGATCCGGCACTGGAAGTGTAGATGTGCCTATCAACACGGGGGCGTTCCTTGTCCTTGCGCAACGACCATGGTGGACCCCGGATTCACTGCGGCGGAAGAATATGGTGAAATTTGTACTCTCGGTAAGATTGTGTATTGTTGAAGTTGACATCGTCCTCGGACGGCATATTGCTCTTTTTATTTTTTTGCAATTCCGATCTGCAAGTGTGAGATCTGGGAAAAAAAATTAAATAAATAAAGCTCATATCCATCAAAAGTTGCGCACCGCTCGGATCTGGTCGATACAGATAATGCTATGCGTTGCACCTGACTGCAAGCGCCGTGCGGCGCCCGTTTTCGCCGCTTGTGTGTTGTCTGCTTTGTTAAAGATATCCAGGTATTGATTGTGGCTGCAACATGTTCAAAACTTCCAAGTGAAAGTTGGGGTCTACAAGAAACTGGCTAAAGGTGAAAAGCAAATCCTGGGAGCTTTAGAAAAACAAAAAATCTGTCACCGGCGGCACTGGTGTAGGGCTTGCTGGGCGACTGTTAAATCTCTATGCCCCAACATGTCGGAAACACGCTGCAAGCCAAGTGGCATCAGCATCGTCCAAAATGGAATATTCTGGAGCCTTTTTTACAAAGGTCTGTAGTGAGGTAGAGTTTAATCACGTGTGTCCCTCCGACGCGCCGACTGGTTCACTGGGACCGTAGCCTTCACCGCTGCCAAGTTACGATGAGTCGGCTATAGGAAAGCTAGCCTTGACTTTGGTAAGCTTGGTAAAGTCCACCGGATGTCGCTCCTGCCGGTCTTTCGTTGTTGTACATGACCACTCTCCCCTCCTCGGCCTGCTTGATAGGGGACATCTTGCGGACGTACTGGGTGACCACCTCGTTGTCAATGGCCCCTGAAACGGGGGAAACTGTATTCAAACCTGGTTCCCAGAGAAATATACCGTGTAAATATGAAGTATTTTTTAATTTTCAAACTTTATTAGAAGACATCTGTGTGCCAATGCCGCCTATTATGTTTGTTTGTTTTATTTTTTATGGAGATATTTTTTTATTGTATTTGCAAGCTCCAAGAATTCTTCTAATAAAAGATTATCATTTTCCACTTAATGTCCGGCACACGGAAATATCTTCCGCCACGCAGAAGATTCTCTCTTTTCATTCTTTTCCTCCTCCCATTTCCCTCGCTATTTTACATCCTCCTCGCATGCTAAGTGTTTAAGTGGCTCATAACCCTTCCGAGTTCCAGAATGGTCTACTTCAAACTTGAAAGGAAATGATTTCGTCGCAAGGGCAGGTAATGGGCATCGAAGGGGCTGTTGCCTTTACAGCACTCGGACTTTTTTTTTTTTTTCTGACTGGATTGTTTTTTGGGTTATTCTGCGATGGGCTTGCAAGTATTTTTGATCGAAGAACTCTGTTCACCCATGAGCAGACAGTGTGGTGAGAGCTGCGTGGTCGTTAGACCAGTTATACATCTATCTGGGTGGCATTCAAAATGCCAAAGATTAAAATGCTGGATTATCAAAAAAAAAAAATTAAAATGCAGAGAAAACCAAATGCCGGAAAATCAAAATGCTGCAAGATAAAATAGAAAACGAAAATCCAAGTGGCCGATCCTGCAGCACCAAAGATAGAAAAGCACAGCTAGAGTATGACGTCCACTAGAAACTCGCCGGGTTCACTTGAGAAACTAAAAGACATTTCCTTGTTCTGTCATATAGGATAGGAATTTCTTGTTTATTTATGTTCCAACTGAGATTCTGTGCAGTTCCTTGCGGTAAGCCCAGGACGTCAACCTTGTCCCAGTTGCCCAAAGCGGCTGCCGGACAGTCTTTGAGTATCCTTTGCTGCTTGCTTTGAGGACGGCGAGGTTGTTACCCAATTGCTGCCTGGATATCAACTTTGACGACCGCTTGCTCTTTTTTTCTGTTCGTAATCAGCCAGAAGGCACCTACGTGGTGCCGCATACCAGCATCTCCCATCGGCGGTGCCATGCCTCGACAGAGTTATTCATACAGATTACACGAAACACAACAATAACATGCAGACTAAGCTAATACATGTCGGATCGCCTACAAATGGGCGATCAGACATGTAAGCATTCACACCTTTCGGTGTTTTGCTTTTCAGCATTTCGAGCTTTCTGCATTTTGATTTTTCAGCGTTATAATGTTTGGCTTTTTCACAATTCGGTGTTTCGATTTGTGTTCGTTGTGCCCGTATTTTTTCCTTTGAAGGGGGTGGCTTCAAAGAGGGGGAGGGACATTAGGGAACAGAGGAGGCACGATTTTTGCATTTCTGGGAGGGACTACTGATTGGCCACTGTACTAATCTTTTCTAATCCTCAACAAAATGTGAGAAGGGGGATATTTCCTCTTTTCCCGCTACGGGAGAAACGAGGAGGAGAAAAACAAGGATAGGCAGGGGTGGGGTTCCTCCTTTCTGCCTGCTCATCGGGCTTTAAGCAATGCGGATGCTGGAGAGGAGGCAAGTGGAAAGAAGGAAACCACCAATCGTAACGAGCAGAGATCTTTGGAGAGGGGCTTCTTTCCTTAACCTGCATTGGAGTACAATAATGTAATATACTCAAAAGGACCCGTACAAAGTGGCGATGCAGGCGAGTTGGTTCATTCACACGTAAAAGAGCCTGCTGTAGAAGAAGTGTAATTAGGGTTGGCCAGACGTGGCTATGAATAGCCCAATTAGGCTGCTTATTTCTGTAGTTGGCGGGAAATAGTGGTTGTCTATTTGGCTATTTCACACCCGAGGAAACGATGAATACAAGAGAGTAGAAAACGAATCTATCCAAATCACAAGCGTGAACATGCAATAAGTGGTTCCTCAGTGGTGTTGGTCACTGTCGTTTTTACCTGTAATACCACCGTCTAAAGAATTTTTTTTTTGTGAATTTCAATATTGCAGTGATGCACCTGTGCTTGCCATTGCCAGATACCTTGCATGAAATTTTGTTTCGGGCTATTTTTTAGGGATGTGCGAATATTCGAATAAACGAATTCGAATCAAATAGCAAGTTTCCGAATAATTTGATTCGCGAATGGAATCCCTAGTATTCGATCGCTCGAATATTCAATATATTTGGCCACAGACGCACAGTCGGACTCGGCACAGAGCTGAATAAATTGCAGTTTTTTTTCTCCTGTTGTTAGCGTCGTGATGTTGGACAGAACATGCGTGAAACAGCTCTTGGTTATACCATTCCACAAAAATCTAACGGACAGGTTACAACAAAGAAAAGTAACGAACGCCACAAACTTTATAGCACGCAGATTTACTCATGATCGTGACACAATCGAACCTTGAATCACAACCGAAACATCCCGTCCTGTTTGCGCCGCTTCCAGAGGAATTATTGGGAGGCCGGAATTTAAGCGCCGATGTGGAACAGACTTGCCACACTCACAGCAATTGGTGACTGCAAGACCACAAAAAGAAAACTACGCTAACCACGCCGATGACACCAGCCGAGTTGTCGTCGTCGTTCCAGGTCGTTCTTTTGGAACCGCAAGCCGCAAATTCTGATTCGGAACGAAACGGAATGGAAAAATAGTGTGCCTAGATTTGAGAGGGTTTCTGACCGTTTGATAGCTGCACGACAAAAAGGCGAAAGCGTCGATCGGGCAGGATCGGGTGCGTAGGCGTCGTCGCTCTTCTATTTGCTCGCCCTTCTTTCCACGCGTTGACACAACACATGCTCACTTACGACCAATCTGCGCAGGAGCGGTCTCCGTGGTTTCAATGGTTTCAGTTTCGCTTGCTCCCTCTTTTAAATCTAGGCTCTCTAAAACAGGATAAATGGACAGAGGAATGGATGCATAGCGGCTGTTGGACGGTCACTTTCGCCACCTAACCACATTTTTTTTCTTACTTCAGATTTAACAGCTATCTGTTTATTTATATAAAATAAAATCCCGGGTGCCCTTTTTCTTCACTAAAATTAAGACCAAATATTGCAAAGTGCCCCTTTCCTCAGATATACAAATAAAAAAAGAAAACATGTCGTGGTGTTAGGGCACGCGTGGCTGTAACTTTGGGTCTTTTGTGAGGCTTAGGGTAGATAGCTTATGTTTGCGCCATAAAAGTGGATCTTTAATGCCCAACGTTCATCAGCACCTGCTTTTTTTTACGAGAATTCTTAGACATTTGATATTTTGTTTCGTACAAGATGCATATTCTGCACCTGGCACATACTCTGCACATATAATAATCTCATTCACAGCAGACTTTCAAAATTTCCTACAAATAAAATCACTATTCAATATTCGATTTGATATTCGGCTTTTTTTTTTTCTTAATTCGATTTGGTATTCGATTTGATATCTACTATTCGGTATTCGCACACCCCTACTATCTTTATAGGCCCCCGTTCGACGATTTTTGGGCTATACCTCTCAAAAAATTTGCGGGTTAATCTTCGTGTTCCTGGCAACTCAGAATGTAATGAATCAAAGTTTGGCGCTTGTCCTCTCCAGTAACTTCCCTGTCCTTGTTTATTTCCCGCCTTTTTACCAGTTGTAGAAGCTGTAGAAGAACCTGCTGTAGAAGAAGTGTAATTAGGGTTGGCCAGACGTGGCTATGAATAGCCCAATTAGGCTGCTTATTTCTGTAGTTGGCGGGAAATAGTGGTTGTCTATTTGGCTATTTCACACCCGAGGAAACGATGAATACAAGAGAGTAGAAAACGAATCTATCCAAATCACAAGCGTGAACATGCAATAAGTGGTTCCTCAGTGGTGTTGGTCACTGTCGTTTTTACCTGTAATACCACCGTCTAAAGAATTTTTTTTTTGTGAATTTCAATATTGCAGTGATGCACCTGTGCTTGCCATTGCCAGATACCTTGCATGAAATTTTGTTTCGGGCTATTTTTTAGGGATGTGCGAATATTCGAATAAACGAATTCGAATCAAATAGCAAGTTTCCGAATAATTTGATTCGCGAATGGAATCCCTAGTATTCGATCGCTCGAATATTCAATATATTTGGCCACAGACGCACAGTCGGACTCGGCACAGAGCTGAATAAATTGCAGTTTTTTTTCTCCTGTTGTTAGCGTCGTGATGTTGGACAGAACATGCGTGAAACAGCTCTTGGTTATACCATTCCACAAAAATCTAACGGACAGGTTACAACAAAGAAAAGTAACGAACGCCACAAACTTTATAGCACGCAGATTTACTCATGATCGTGACACAATCGAACCTTGAATCACAACCGAAACATCCCGTCCTGTTTGCGCCGCTTCCAGAGGAATTATTGGGAGGCCGGAATTTAAGCGCCGATGTGGAACAGACTTGCCACACTCACAGCAATTGGTGACTGCAAGACCACAAAAAGAAAACTACGCTAACCACGCCGATGACACCAGCCGAGTTGTCGTCGTCGTTCCAGGTCGTTCTTTTGGAACCGCAAGCCGCAAATTCTGATTCGGAACGAAACGGAATGGAAAAATAGTGTGCCTAGATTTGAGAGGGTTTCTGACCGTTTGATAGCTGCACGACAAAAAGGCGAAAGCGTCGATCGGGCAGGATCGGGTGCGTAGGCGTCGTCGCTCTTCTATTTGCTCGCCCTTCTTTCCACGCGTTGACACAACACATGCTCACTTACGACCAATCTGCGCAGGAGCGGTCTCCGTGGTTTCAATGGTTTCAGTTTCGCTTGCTCCCTCTTTTAAATCTAGGCTCTCTAAAACAGGATAAATGGACAGAGGAATGGATGCATAGCGGCTGTTGGACGGTCACTTTCGCCACCTAACCACATTTTTTTTCTTACTTCAGATTTAACAGCTATCTGTTTATTTATATAAAATAAAATCCCGGGTGCCCTTTTTCTTCACTAAAATTAAGACCAAATATTGCAAAGTGCCCCTTTCCTCAGATATACAAATAAAAAAAGAAAACATGTCGTGGTGTTAGGGCACGCGTGGCTGTAACTTTGGGTCTTTTGTGAGGCTTAGGGTAGATAGCTTATGTTTGCGCCATAAAAGTGGATCTTTAATGCCCAACGTTCATCAGCACCTGCTTTTTTTTACGAGAATTCTTAGACATTTGATATTTTGTTTCGTACAAGATGCATATTCTGCACCTGGCACATACTCTGCACATATAATAATCTCATTCACAGCAGACTTTCAAAATTTCCTACAAATAAAATCACTATTCAATATTCGATTTGATATTCGGCTTTTTTTTTTTCTTAATTCGATTTGGTATTCGATTTGATATCTACTATTCGGTATTCGCACACCCCTACTATCTTTATAGGCCCCCGTTCGACGATTTTTGGGCTATACCTCTCAAAAAATTTGCGGGTTAATCTTCGTGTTCCTGGCAACTCAGAATGTAATGAATCAAAGTTTGGCGCTTGTCCTCTCCAGTAACTTCCCTGTCCTTGTTTATTTCCCGCCTTTTTACCAGTTTGTAAGGTAAACACAAACACGTTACAAGAATGGCTCCAGCTTGCCTACGTTGAACCATTTGACCAATAGGCTATATCCATTGAGCGTGACGTCTCATTCTTACCATTGTGAGGAGTTCGTTGTCAGTAGGGCAATGGTTCCAAAGTCCAAGGTTAAATTTCGTAATGCATAAGGATCTGCTGAGGGAGAAAGGAGAAAATAGTTGCGTACCTTCAGTCTCTTTCTTCAGGTCCGTGTCAAAATTGAATCCGTCTCCGCCATTTGCAATGTAGCTGGTAGTGACAATTTTGTACGTGTTTTTCCATTGGACAGGCTCGTACTTGGGTATCGAGCAGTTGGCGCACAAAATTTCGAGTCGAATGACTCGCTGGAATGCACAGCGCGCAAAGTTGTACGCCACCTTGATCCCTGCGAAAACAAAGCGCACAGGTAGAATAAATTTTGAACTTCTTGCTTTTTGATTCGTTCCTCTCTGATCTAATCGGCCAATGCCGGAATCTCATCAGCTGCGGAGCGATAACAAGATATGCTCGAGGCACGCTGCGTCCTACTTCTCTTACGTCGGCAAGTTCGTCTGCTTCTTGCACATGGGTTGCTATGATGTCAGAATGCCAAGCTCTTATTGTTTGTCTGAAAAAAAAAAAAATTAAAGCCGTTTACAACTCCCTGTAACGCCGAATTAGAGTGCAGCTCTTGAGGAGGAGGAAAGAAGGGTACTGAGGGAAAGGTATACCCCTCGTCCCTCCTCCTCACCTCCTCATCCTGTCTGCTACTCCTCCCTCCAAGCGGCGTCGTCGTCGCCTCACGAGGGTCACGTGACTTCACGGGGGTCACGTGACCTCACCGGGGTCACGTGAGGACGTCATCGTCATCGTAACTGATGACGTCATCATCACTAGTGACGTCATCAGTGACAATGCGGATGCCGATGACGTCATCAGTGACGATGAAGTCACTGATGACGTCATCAGTGACATCACGCATGCCATAATGCAGCGCATGGTTACGCCGACGGCGACGCCGCTCAAGCCGCACACGGGCGCCTAAGAGCTGTGCTCTACAAAAAATAGTGGGTACACTGCAAGGCATCTTGCATTGAAGTCGACCTCAATGCTAGATGCCTTGAATGGCAATCAAATCAATTCAGAGCTCGGCGTCACTCTGACTTCACCGCAACTCCTGCGCAAGAAGCATGATGACTTTCTCTCCGCATAGTACAAGACGATTTTGGGTGGTAGAAATGCTGCCATTTGCTGGCGTTTCATTCGAGGGTTCTGCAATCCCGAATAGCCTACGCTCATTTCTGCATAAATGAACATACAGTTTTAAAAGGGGTCGTGCAACAATACTGGTTAGTATGTTTGTCACTTTACACAACCTCACAGCACTAGTTGACCCAGTTATCCTCGTACGCAACGCCACTGACCAAGAAGCTTCTTTGTCACGGTGTAATAGACCCTTTTCAGAAGTACACGCCATTTGGGAGATGCTGCCTGAAAACAATAAACACTCGCAGATTATTACTTCAGCAAAGAGGTTTGTCGATAATCTCGGGCAAGAACGACCTCCTTTGTTTGTTCACAATAGTCTGCTGCTCTAAACGGACACCCAAACGGCGTTGAAGTGGTCGGCGCACGTCTAACCTTCTGCACTTGTGTAAGGTTAGTTACAAACCTCGCCTGTACAGTTTACTTTATTGTAAAGTTTGACCTAAAGTTTGCCCTTCATGCTGGTGTACTCGTTCGCGTCTGTGTAATGAAAGCGTTTAATTTGTACTTTTTTTTTTTTTTTTGGTTTGTCAAACTTTTATTGATTAGCAGGTAAAAACATTTAATCGTGATTAAAGCATTAATTGATTGAACGGTAGGTTAATTGATTAATTGGCCAGCCCTAATGATAACTCATTGGGGCATATAATCGGCACTAGATCATGTCGCCGCTTGTCCTGGAGGCGAATGTAGGAAGTGAATGTTGCCTGTATTTCTTTAATTTATTTTTTCTGTGACTGCCATTGCGCAGGGAGAAGCACTAACGCATGTTTCATATGTTATGAGCGTCGAAGATTAACCCTAAACAGACATTCAGCATGTATCGGGAATTTCAAAGCATCGGCCCATCTTTTACGTTTTCAGCTCAGAATTCGTCGGTTCATATAAAATGATTTTTATTGGCGAGCACCTACAAACAAATTTGGTTCTTGTTTCTTCATTTTGGGTGCAGTATTTCTTAATTTAGAGTAATTTATCTAAGTGGATTAAAAATAATGTGCTCCATTAAATTATGTGTCTAAAGCTAAAAGTACTGAAAAAATGATAACCCAATTAAACTTCATACTTTGCAATATTCTACTGGTACTGCGCGCCTGTATAATTTATATAGCGTACTTGGCCGAGGTTATGCATAATAAAATACACGCTGTCAATGAACCAGGAGGGTTTTTATCAAATAAACAAATAAAAATTCGTAAGTAAACTCCCTCATATTTTCATACTGCAAAAATATGAAAGGCAGATGACTGGAAGGGTTTGTGTGAATGATGCTATTAGACATTGTTCATGTTACAAATTTTTCTTGTATTGCTATCTTGAATTTTTTTTTTTTTTTTTCTAGAGATTTTCGTCGTTGGCTGCAGAGCAATATGTAAGGGTGACAAGGACTCGCCAGGCAGAGCAGATCAGCCTCGAATGTTGCGGGACTGACTTTTGAAGAGGGTATATTCTGGCCTTGCGACACGGCGCATTGTCCTGTTGGAAGATTCCAGTTCCGGTGGGGAAGACAGAAGTCATGAAGGGGTGCAACTGGTTAGAAGTGACATTAACAGAGTCCACAGCTTTCATAGTGTGCTTTACAACAACCACCGCGGTCACAGGGATGCCCATGAGAACGCCCCCCAAAACTTGATAAATACCACCAGAACCGGCCACCATCAGCAGATGGTAGATGACGTGTCTCGCTCATTCCCATAGTGTGGGGATGGTCATAATGGTTTGGCTGATCAGAGAATTTGGCCTTTATTTTACAGGGAATGCAAACGCTTTTTGGGTAAATACGATGGTGATGCATACACTATTTTCTTTTATATGTGCGCTGGAGGTAAAGTGCGTGCGAACTCGCCTGTATCGCGTGGTGAAAAATCCACTTTTATTTTACTGACCTAGCAACACAAGAGCTGCCTAACATGAAGCGACTGCACTACAGTGAACAAGGATTGGTATTCTGGAAGAAATCTATCCGCCGCTCCCCTAGACCTAATTAAGAGCTCCATCAAGTCAACAACAACATACATAATGTTCATGTTTGTGACGCAACGCTCGGCTGACGTAGCCGAACGCCACGCGAGCCGAACGCCGCGTCAGCGTTCTGCTGGGGCTCCGACAATTCGCGTTAGGCGCTGTCTCTTTCGCTCACAGTGACCGTGGCGTCGGCAGTTGTGTCGGTGAAAGCGAATTATTGAACGAGCACGGCCTCCGACGATCCGCTTTCGGCGCTGTCTCTTTCGCTCACGGTGACCCATTTAACACTAGTCCCAGCCAAGCGGTGACGCAGCACTCCTCTTCAATTTATGCCACGCACTCAATGGAAACAGGTGACGCAAAGAATCTTGTCCACAAACTTTCTGTTGGGTAAACACTTAAAGGAACGCTAACACCCCCTCCCTCCCCCCCCCCCTCCCCCCCAAAAAAAAATATATATATATATATATTTTTAGGCGACTTATTCTGGTGTCGGAAGACTACCCAATCAATATTTTGCTACAGTGTCACGTATATTTTAATTAAGTCAAAATACGCAACTGCTCGAAACCGAAATCGAAACTGGACTGAGGCGGAAGAAGAAATATAGAGGAGGAATAAGATACCGAAAATCACTTTATTGTCTAACTTTTTTTTTTTTTTCAATCAACATATTTGCGGTTTTTTAGAAGTCACAAAAAATCTGTGCCATATTTTTTGTCCATTTCTAGTATTGAGTGTGTGCCTTCGATGACCCAAGACTTTGATTCTCTTTGGTGGTTGTGTCTAAACCATAGAAAATGGCACGGGACCATGGAGAAGAGAGTGAGCGCGACTCAAACCGGCCAGTTCTCGATCGGCGGTTTTGGGGTGGAAAGAAAACGAATTTCGAGCCGCAAATTGTGTTCTGGGTAGTTGGACTCTCATATGTCATCTACAAATAAAAACCTTGGCAAGCATAAATACCCTCTCAGTGTCCCTTCAATGGAAAACAAGCTGGACAAAGTGCCCCCGATACTCTGCTCTCCTTGACATCAGAGATCCCATAAAGTCATACCTGAGACCTGGAGAAAGGCTCCCACCGGGTCGTCGTACCAGGTGAACTGCGAGACACTGAAATCGAACATCTTCCACAACTGAGCTCCGCTCATCGTGAGCACGACGAGCGTGCTTTCGAAGGGCATTGCGGACATCATGTTTTCCCTGCGGATGGCACCTGTACAGGTAAAATGCAGTGTCGGGCTCACCGGCATACTGTCTGTGCCTAAGAATGGCGAAAGCGTAGCTCAAATCGTGTCTGCGACATAGCGGGATCCGCTGTGCAATTTATTTCATTTTATTTATTTTTTCTTGTCTATTTTTTTAATGCGGGTATTTACACGTTACACGAATTGCTTTTGCCAAACCTTGGCCGGAGCATGTTACACCTATGCCAAATATTTGTAGAGCATTTACACGTCATTTGGTCAGAAAGCCGGGATCTACTTTTATATGGAAAGAACGAATAATTAGCTTTCTCGGACCTCTCTTTGTTAAAAAATCCTATAGAGCTCGAAGCCTTGAGTCCAGATGGGCATCCTCATACCCAAAGATTGAGACAGGTATGACTCTACTTGTACTTGCATACAAAAACGGTTGCTTCGGTTTTCCTGAAGCTATGCAATCTGCAGTTTCGCCATTTTAATGTTGACAAAGGACTATTTTATTGATGTGTTCATATGGACGCTCCTAAAATACGCTTGGTAACAAGGCAAGTTTTACAGGCTTTTTGTGATTATACTTCCATTCAATCATATTTGTTTACTTTGAGCAATTCGTCGGTATCACGTGTTCCCCTCATCCCTATCCATGCCTAGCTCAGGCAGGCCGTGGGCGCCACCATGACGGGGCGCGGCACGCGGATGCGAGAGGAGGCCGCGTGCCCATGAGGGCGGTGCTCGCTCGTCCTCGGGTGACTTCTACGGGACACCCTTCGAGACCATTCATACTTGGACGCCTGCGCCCCTCGAGGGAGCAAACCTACAACCGTTAAACTAGTCAACCTCGGGTGTGTTCATTTCCCATAGGCTACAAAGCGGGCCCAAACAACGGCCGGGGTCTGTCGTCGAAGGAGGGCATTGCTTACACGGCGCTCTGTTCCTTTTGGCCTTTCTCCTTTCCGAGAGTGTCACCGGTGACCCTGTCAATTAAGGCAACGCTGATACTGTGGACTCTATCGAGAGTAAAGCGTGGTAGTGTAACAGTAAATAAACACGTTTTTCACGGGCACACTGGCAGACTGCCTGGTATACCCCACGGAGAAACCCACAATATTTACTGTATTTTGTAGCAGCTAGGTTAAGAAAAGCAGGACAAGCCACTCCCGCGAAGCCGTCCACTCTACAATTAGGCAGTGCCCACGCTGGAGAGGAGGCGAGGATAGACCAGCACCTCCTAGAAACTAAGGCCGTGGCGCTCTTCTGAACCTTAGTAACGCGTTGTATATTACGTTTATATTATATACAGGGTGTCACAAAAGAAAATTTACACGGTCTTTTTTACCGCAAAAATAAACTAGGCATCGCCGAACGCTCATTCTCCGCCCAAAGGTAGAGCTAGAGGTCACAACCAGATGCCAAAATTTCAGCCCGATCCGATATCTGAATCAAAAGTTATAAGGGATTTTCTGAAAATTTCAATGGGAAAATGGAGCCCATTTTTGCCCGTTTTCGGTTTCTGGTGCCATAGAGCCCCATGTGTTCTCCGTCCGCCGCCATTTTCCCATTGAAATTTTCAGAAAATCACTTATAACTTTTGATTAAGTTATCGGATCGGGCTGAAACTTTGGCATCTGGTTGTGACCTCTAGCGCTACCTTTGGGCGGAGAATGAGCGTTCGGCGATGCCTAGTTTATTTTTGCGGTAAAAAAGACCGTGTAAATTTTCTTTTGTGACACCCTGTATATAATAAATTGTACAAGACTGCGCTTTTGAAAGGTATATTAATGTCGGATACACGCGCATGAACAGTATCGCGCCGCTGGACAGGAAAAATATTTTTTTCACGTCGATACCAGATATTTTCTCACGTAGTTGCGCCATGGTCTTCCTTCTCCGACATTGTGACGTAACCACTCGGAGCGCTACGTCCTTCTTTCTAAAAGGTGTCGGATATAGGCTCGCCTCCTCTCCCAGCGTTCGCTCTGCTAAGTGGAAATGGCCGAGGGCTTCGCAGTAGGAGATTCCTGAACTACATTTCCTTCGGATGAATAATCGAGACATGGAGTAGCATCGTGACTCCTCAGGATTTGGGTATTTTCTAACTCGAGCTGTAAGGTTATTTTGAGACGCTAAGGATTAGACTATTACACGCTAAGAAGACACATTGCATAAATCACCCTGTGGAATGGACCACTTGGTAATGCCGGCGTTTACGACAGCAGCATTCACGTCGGACCAGGCGTGCGGAATGGCGCTTTTCCGGTTGGCGTAGTGGGCGAGGAAGGCATCTGCGATGAGGTTGGCCATGTTGCACTCTTTGAGGCGGCACACTTTGTGAGATGCTTCGAGCAGAACTTTAGTGAATCCGATGCACTCCTTGCTCGCTTTCTCCACTTGTTTCTTGTACACCGTCAACATCTTGATCATTAGTCTATCTAAAGTGAAAAACAGGGGCACATGAATCAAGTCGGAGGGACATTTTTGTTTCCCCGCAGTGAGAACCGATTATATCTGAATGTTAAATCGACCATGTCTTTCCGTGTTTTTAGATACTAGTTTCGGAATAATAATTTAAATATAGAAATAAACTCGAAGTTAATTTCACGTTAGAGGACACTTCGCGGAAGTGAGACCGTATCAAAAGGGATGAATCGAAAAACACCCGCCGATGGCCTGCTCTTCCGGCGTCCGAAAACGGTCGGAAGCACAGGTCCGCGACTGCCCATATATACTAAAAGGTAGCGCAAACCATTGTCTGAAATGGGGAAGAGAAATTTCCTCACGCCCATGCCCTTTCCTTCTCAAAAGTTCTCTTTCCCCTCGCTTCAATTGGATCAGGCGCGACACGTGACCGTTGTCTTCCCATGATCCCGCGCGATTCGGTGGTCCGCTAGAAACCAACGCCATCACTGGGCGAGGTGTAGCGGTGGCTCCGTTGCTTACAGCACGACCGTTTTTTTCTTAGAGCGCAGCTCTCAGGCGCCCGTTTCCGGCTTGAATGGCGTCGCCGTCGCCGTCGGCGTAACCGCGCGGTGCATTATGGGTAAATTTCCCCGCTAAATTTAGCGGAAAAATTTCTCCGCGAAATATGGCGGAAAAATTCCCCGCTAAATCTAGCGAAAACATTTCCCCGCTAAATCTAGCGGAAAAATTTCTCCGCGAGATATAGCGGAAAAATTTCCCCACTAAATCTAGCGGAAAAATTTTCCCGCTAAATCTAGCGGAAAGATTTCAACGCTAAATCTAGCGAAAAAATTTCCCCGCTATTTCTAGCGGGAATATTTCCCGCTAAATCTGGCGGAAAATTTTGTTCACTAAATCTAGCCGAAAAAAAAATTTCTCTGGGGGTCACGTGACCCCCCCCCCCCGCGAGGTTACGTGATACCCCCAGGTCACGTGACCTCGAGGAGCCACGTGACTCCCAAAGGTCACGTGACCCTTCCTCCAGGTCACGTGACCCCACCCCCCGACGTCACGTGACCCCCCCCCCCCTCGAGAACACGTGACCCTCAGTACCCTTCCCTCCTCCTCCTCAAGAGCTGCGCTCTAATTCGGCGTTACAGGGAGTTGTAAACGGCTTTCACTTTTTTTTTTTTTTTACTACGACCTTGGAGACAACACGATGCCATCATGCTGCGCTGTGGATTCCACAAACAGCGCGTTTTTCTAAAAATGAGTCCAGTGCCCCTTTAAGCAATTTAGCTAGTGCAGTAGAACCGCTAGCCTGGGGTCTTTAACGTGCACCACGCAGTAGTGATACACGACCGCACGCCGGTACGATGCTCATCCAGATCGAAACGGGCAGGGTTGGGGATTGAACCCAGAATCCCTGGGTTCTGCAGCGCGAGCTTTCGCTCCACGTGCTCCGAGCTGGTGTGCGCTAGCCCACACGGCCACCGATCTCCAATTCTCTATAATCCGTCGTATGCAATAGAAAACAAGTACGGCCCGGCCCGGCACGCCGACGCGCGCCTACGCCCGCCTGGTGGGCATCGCTCAGACATGGTGGCAGGGGGGCGTGACGCAGAAGGAGGGCAAGGAGGATTGCCCTCGATGGAAGGGAGGAAAATGCGGCTGCAGTAGGGTAACGGTATTCTCATAGGCTGCAGTAGAGTTCCTGTGTAGGCTTTCTACGGGAGCCAGAGTTAAGCGCGATCCAAACCAACGCTTCTTTTTGCGCCTGTAGGTCGTGCGGCTGCGGATGTGACGCATTTTCGTGACGTCGTGCCGCTTCTTCGCTCCTTCCGGGCGCGCACAAGAAAGTTGGTTGATTTCAACTTCTTCTCAACGCGCACAAAAACGCGCGGTGACGTAGTAGGGCGCTCCTGTGTCCCGGCCAATCGGTGGAAGGCAAGCTAGTTCCGGCTCCGCGTTTCTCACCGTCTGGCTGCCCTCTCCTCCCTCCCTTTTATTCTCTTCCAACATGACAACGCGATCTCTCTCTCTCTCGCCGTCTGGCCGGCCAGTCTGTCGCAGTTGCACCTTGCTTGTGCGCTCGTGCCTGCGTGCGCGCGTGCGCGCTCGCCCGAAGTTTTGCCCGTCCAAACCAAAGCGCACGGTTCTGACTCAGGAAGCGCGCCCGGAAACAGCAAAAACGCCACGAAATGCGTCACATCCGCAGCCGCACGACCTACAGGCGCAAAAAGAAGCGTTGGTTTGGATCACGCTTTACGCATCTGTGCACTTGCCGCCCGCCGCTATTCGCCGAGATTCGATCACGTGGGGAGCAGACTCAAATGCCGTGCAGGAAAGTAAACGTTGCACGGCGTACGTTCCCTTGCTTTTGAGCGCGCCGCGCGCCCCGAACCCGTGGCGCCGCTATTCGCAGAATTGAGTCACGTTAGGAGCAGAGTTCCCATGCTGTGCAGGAAAGACGGCGCTACGGGGATGAACGCGCATCTCTGGCTCCCTAGGGAGCCTATACAGGAACTCTAGGCTCCAGTGACTCCGCGCGATATCTTTCACAGCACTGCATATTTATGCGCGACTTTTATACAGAGGTTCGACTCATACCAGAATATAGACGCTTTACACACGCGCCAAATTACAGCCGCCATAACTGACCTTCTCTTGTCTTACCGAGATGCCGAGAAACTGAAACGGTAGTTGACGATCCTCTACAAAGGCCGATGCTTTAGAAAAGGACACAGTTGAATCTAATATGGCAATAACCTGGCCTGCTATGGTAATGATGAAGTGAAATAAACGGAATAAGAGGAAACAAAAACTGAAGGTCAGTTATGGCGGCGTCCATGCACAGCTGCTGCAAAGCGTCTATATGGTGGTAAACCATATCTTTGGCACTCAGAGATCGAAGACGACGAAGTGAAAAAGAGAAGATTAAGAGCTTGTGCGTCGAATCAACATGGGAACAATATGCCAGATCGCATCGGTTGCAGCTTGTATTTAGTGTAAATAGAAGTTTGCTTGAACGTAACCACTGACGACTACCAGAGGTCCCTACATTGGTGCCGAAACCCGGGAGGAACGACTGAACGAAGGGAACCTGGTTTTTACAGCAACTTTCCATCAAGCCAAGACAGAGCGCTCGACGATCATGGACGTCCTCAAGAAGAAACGGAAGTCGCATCGGATGCAAGTGACACGACTTGTTGGTGAGGCTGACATGTTGCTACTCTCAGCTACGCCGAGCGTCAACGACCTCAAGGTTCTAATCGAGCGTATTCATCTGGCCCGCGACCAACTGAACGACGTGGACGCGGCGATCGAACCTCTGATCACAGGGCAAGATGCAAAAGCAGAGTTAACTCATGGGATAGAATATTCAGACAAGATCGTCACATACCTCACCAAACTCAAAGCAAAGATGAAGAGCGCGGAGGGCAGCCACCCAGCAAGGGGACCATCGAACGAAGATTGGAACGGAAGATCTTCGGGTGACAGCAAAGATCAAACTTCCAAAATTGAAACTGATCCGATTCAACGGGCACCTAAAGTACTGGCAACCCTTCTGGCATCAATTCGATACCGCCATTCATCAAAATCCGGAACTCACGCCATCAGAAAAGTTTAACTATCTGAGATCAGCGCTGACCAGCGATGGAGCAGCCGCCATCGGTGGATTACAGCCGACCGCTGAGTGTTACGCGGACGCCATGGACCTGCTGCAGCAGCGGTTCGGGAAGCAAGAGACGCTTATCCAGCACCACACGGAAGGTCTCATGGACATACAGCCAGTGCCACTGCAACGGAACACCCGAACCCTACGGCGTTTATACGACACTCTACTGGCGCACATCAGAGGCCTTAGAGCGTTGGGGATGGGCGAAGAGGCATATGGGGCTATGCTCTACAAAGTTCCTTTGCGAGTGCTACCGAGAGATATCACTCTCGATTTCAACGGGAAGATGTCGGCGGAGGAGACCGGAAATGCCAACGCCGCAAGGGCATCAATGACAGACGCCAGTTTGGAATCCGCCCCACAGCAAGTCCACCTGAGGGCTCTGCGGTCTCTCCTCGACTTCCTACGCATCGAGGTGGAGAGCCGCGAAAGGACATCAAAACACCAGCTGGAAGACGTCGTCGGTAAGCCCAGAACTCCTTCTCTGACGCATGATTCTAAAAAGAGGCCAACGATCAACGCCAGGACTCGCAGCTCTACCGCGGCGGCATTGCACGGTAGCGTGGACGGCTTAGAGTGCTTCCTTTGCAAATCAAAAGCGCAGGGAACACCGGAATGTAACGCGAGAATCGGGCTAACGGAGAGGAAGCGTACGTTGCAAGCAGACCGGAGGTGCTTCAGCTGCACAAATGCCAATCACATGAGAAGAATATCTCGAGGAGCGCCCAGCTGCGGCAAATGTCGAGGCAGGCACGCGTCCACCATGGTGCGACCCGAATTACGCGCCGGGACGAACGTCCACCAGATCGAATGAGACGGAACCGAAGGGCCCGGCACCGGTCGCTCTGCATGTACTTGCTAGGAACAGCAAGCCGACAGTGCTCCTACAAACGGTTACCGTGTGGGCAGAAGGTACAAACAGAAGGAAACTTGGCCGTATTATTTTCGGCAGCGGCTGTCAGTGCTCCTTCATAACTGAAGAACTGTCTAAGCGACTGGACTGCAAATTGCTCGGGACAGAGATCCTCATAATCGGCGTGTTCGGGGACGAAAGCACTGAACGTACGTTTCGCAGGGTTCAGGTGACTTTGCGAGATTAACCTACACCAAAAGATATGATATCGGCGCTCTCGAGACACCTACCATATGTGAGCAGGACCTTCCGAGCCCAGATGAAGCCATCGTGGCAACATTAGAGGAACTCTGCTGTCCCTTGGGAGACAACATGAGCGGACTGGAACAACGCGGCGTCGACATTCTGCTGGGATCATACCACTACTGGGGGTGTATCACAGGATGAATTCACCGACTAAGCGGATGCCTGACTGCAGTAAAAACTGCATTCGGTTGGGC